TAAGGGAACTAATCAACTTTGGTCTAGTGTCCAGCAAAAGTTACCAAAAAACATTTACAACTTTATCATCAAATACCTAAACAACACTCTTGCCACTAGGAAAAACCTCTGCAAATGGTCAATTACTCAGTCATCTGCCTGCTCTTTCTGTCTCCAATCAGAATCATTACAGCACATAGTCTCTAGCTGCAAGAACTATCTTGAACATGGTAGGTATACCTGGAGACATGATTCTGTACTTCTATATTTGGCTAAAACCCTTTCAACACCTAGAAACAGCTCACTTTACGCCGACCTGCCTTCATTTCTATCACCTTCTTTAATCACAGGCGACTCCTATCGACCAGATCTTGTCTTCGTAACTGAAGATCGAATCCTTTACATGCTAGAGCTTACTGTTGGGTTCGAAAGCAACATCGACGAAAACAGTACTCGAAAAGCTAGGAAATATAGCGATCTTATCAAGGAACTGAGCCCTGCCTATAAACGTGTTACCTTTGTTAACCTTTCTATGAGTGCCCTTGGCATTCTGGGAACCTCATCTACCTCTCTTTCTGACATGCTACACCAACTTAATTTTGACTCAAAGCAAACTAAACCCATCTTGATGAAACTCATGAACATTTCTATCCACTGCACCTACTATATCTTCTGTCGTCGAAACAAACCATGGCTAAGCCCCGAACTAATTGACTTTTAAATATTGTAATGCAGATAAGCCAATTATATGATGCCTGTAAAAGCGAGTCGTATAATTGTAAATTTAAAATGTATTCAATGAAAATGAGATGTTTAAAAAAAATTATTATTATTATTACTAGAAATAGCTCTTGCTAGTACTGCCCGCAAACAATTAGTTCCTTGATAATGATTGTTTTGAAAATGTAGGTCAGGATATTCGAAAAAGACACCATCTTGGGTTTTCACAATTCTATAAAAACAGCTGCTCTAGTTGATGCTAAACTATTCTTTTTATCAAGAATTTTTGGTGTTCAGTTTGCCTTTGATTTAAGTCCAACGCCCTTTTGAAAATCATGAAGTTTTTCGAGGGTTTGACATTTATTTTTCGATAATCACGACAATAATAACTTTTGCTCGTACGGTCTCGAGTTTTTGGGAGAAAAGTGTGGCATTCGACTGGTTTTGATTCCCAAGACTTCGAATCAAAACTTCCATCCATTGCGGAGAACAGAGCTGTGATGCAGCACCGTTTTCGTGCCAACAATCATAACTTTTGCTCGTAGGGTCTCGAGTTTTTGGGAGAAAAGTGTGGCATTCGACTGGTTTTGATTGCCAAAACTTCGAATCAAAACTTCCATCCATTGCGGAGAACAGAGCTGTGATGCAGCACCGTTTTCGTGCCAAAAAAACCGAAGGCCTTGGCAGAGCAACGCTCCGAAGATAATTCCCTTCCGCACAAAGAGGTGGCGGTTAACGACCTCCTCGACAAAGCCGATTGATTGACAATGAAATTGATTGACAGTTGTCATGGCAGCAGAAAAGTGACAAAATCTGCTGAAAAAGTGCTGACAACATGAACTGAAGCTTCCATATGCTACTTATACGCGGGGCAGACTATAAGCCCTTCACTCGCGCGCTATCGCGCGCGAGTTGCGGGCAATTATTATTATTATTTGAAAATGGCTTTGAAAAAAGAAAACATTTGAGTAAACTGAAGCTTTTCGTCTGACTCTTTTCATAGTTTTAAGCGTCAGAACATAGATCGAAAAATCTACGCTAGGAAATATATATAGCCAGTTATGGATCTAAATAAGCCAGTCAGAAACGCGAGCACATTACTGTTGAGGTTGACCAATCAGTGCCGCTTGCCTATTGAGAATGTTACCAATGGAGTCCTAAGGTGAAAACAAACTCTTTTTGTCACCTCGGTGTTGCAGATTAAAAAGTAAAACTAAAAACATGCGATTCTGCTATCGGGCAGCATTCACTGGAAAATCCAGATTAAGCAAAAAACTATAATGGCGAAATGTTTCGAATTATTGGTAAATCTCGATTGTCATTCCATCTAGCAGTTTTGGAATCTATCTACATAAGCACAAAAAGACCGCTATTGTGAAGACAAAAGGAGTTTGTATTTTCATTTAATGAGAGGACGAAATATTGTTTTACCGATGTTGTAATGGGAACAAATAATGCTGCAAAGTACGTAAGACTTTTACGTATTTTGCAGCATTATTTGTACCCATTACAACATCGCAATCGGTTGGAAAAGAAGAGACATGACGATTTGTGACACATTTTATTGATTGAATTATATTGCATTATAACATGAAGCGGCCGCTGCCCTAAGGCCCACTGCAGCTCCAAAAATTTCCTACCAAAACATTTAGCATATTCTCCAACAAAAGTGAGGAAAATGAGCAGTTCTAGACACTCAAGCATAAAGTAAGTACCCCCGAGTTCATTGTATTAAGTTATCGCAAATTGGTGCAAATATGAACTTTTTTGCAAATGTTCATAGGTACTTCAATCATCATGGCTCAATTTGTGTGTTTTCGCAAATTTTGATATTGTTTGGAAATTGGCAAAAATTAAGAATATTCTTGCATTTACTTTTCTCAGCATCAAATCTTGATAAATTTTCCAATATACTCCAGCTAAAAAGTCATCTTATAACTTTTATAAAATTTGCTATGGTCATTTGAATTTCGATTCGATGAAAAATTTGCTGCAGTGCCGCCATTTCTGCTTCAGCCTGTGCAATAGATAAAGGGGGCTGCAATGGACAGGGCTGGGTGTGGGGGTGCCTCACATGTTTAACAGAGCCCCGATTAGAGGCCCCGGTCGATTGATGTGAACTTTGTATTTTGATCATTTGCATGTTTTCTTGAACTCAACGCCAGAATACTATCGTTCATAAAATGTGTGGCGAACTGATTGATGCAGCTATAGCTTAATAAATATTACTTAATTATTAGGAGTAACATTGGACCACCAACTTAGATAAGAAAAGCATGCTAAAATTTTTTTAAAGAAGCTTGAAAAAGGTAAACGCGCCATTTAGGATTGCTTTGTATGTTGAAGAATCTAAGCGAATACTTTTAGCGAAAAGTTGAATACATTCATTTCATGATAGTCCTTTCATTTGGATGTTTTTTAGAAAGAAAAGTAATAGCGGAATAAATAGGGTTCATGAAAGGGCATTTAAAATGGCTCAGAACAATTATCAATCAACTTTTGAAGAACTGTTCATAAATTAAAACATTCAGTTTTCATATGTAAATTTACAATATCTCGCGATAAGAATATATCTGATTTGATGTTTCAATCCGACTTTTATGGATGAAGTATTTTCAATAGACGAATGCCAATATACAGTGGAATCCCGATATAACGAACTCCGAAGGGGACCAGAAAATAGTTCGTTATATCGGGAGTTCGTTAAACCGGGAGAAAACGTTTTTTGGTCTTTTCGCAGTTCACGCCTAGAAAACCTGCGATGGGCTTGTTTAGGCTATCTCTAACTTCTGTGCACATTTAAATCCAAGAAACTAAGCTGAATTCAAATGTTACTAATGGTTAGACATCGAACATGAAAATCTTTATTTTCCTCCAATAGTTTGGGACCTAGAAATTGGCAAAGCTAGTATTACTTCACTTCTAGTTGGCGGCTGAATGACGTCTTCGATTACTTCACATTCTTGCTTGTCTTCTTCTGCTTCTCTATTTGGGTTTTTCAATAAAAGTTTGTCGTCCCTTTTTTCAATGTCTCATATGTAAAGAGGTATTCGTTATTGTCACTGTACTCATTCGCAGTAATTTCTGACGCAATCGAACTTTCACCTCGTGCTCTTGACAGCATGTTTTGCCGATTATAAAAATGATTTCCCACCAGATTGAGTGATAAATGAACACCGAAATGAAATAAACAAAAATAACAGATGAAATTTTTTTTGAAAAGATCGTTATATTGAGGGTAATTATGATGGAGGGATCTAAAAATTGGTTCGTAATAACGAGAGCTCGTTATATAATATCAACGGTTCATTATACCGAGAGAATTTGTAAAGAGTTTGTTAGGCAGAATCAAAGGGATCAAACAATAAGTTCGTTATACCGGGAAGTTCGTCATACCGGGAAGTTCGCTATACCGGGAACTTCGTTATACCGGGAACTTCGTTATACCGGGAAGATCGTTATATCCGGGGTTCGTTATTTCGGGATTCCACTGTAACTTTATTAAGAATCTCCCAATTGAAAACAACATAGCAAAATTGTCTGATTGTTTTCTCGTGGTTGAATTGTATTGGCACGTTGACACGTAGAAGCCTATGGCAGTGGTGGCGCTAGAGGGGGCAGAGGGAGCATTGGGAGCAGAGAGGTACAGCCTCCTTCGGAGAAGGTTAGCCCCCCGCCGGAAGGTAAACTATCATATTTGAACCATTTCCAAACATCTTTTCCTGTGTCTGACCACGAACATTTAGTGTTGGTAAGTATACTTCGAAATTCTACAATATCATCTAAGAAATGCAATTTCCCCTTTGAGGATGATATGATGAGAAAAAATTGTGCAATATGACACTATTTCCACTTTTAATGCAAAATGCAACTCTTATAAGTGTATTTTTGAAATCGAGAATTTGATCGGGGAAATCACATTGAAACATTTGCCCATTTTTATAAGATATCCATATAAGGACACGGGGTAGTTAGACGTCAAGTTTCTAATTGTTTCTTCTTCGCAGAGATAAGCAGAAACTTCCCCTGATTTAACCCACATTTTACCCCAAAAACAGCGGCAAATCCCTATTTACCATCACAATTCTATATCCCCAGTTGATAAAGAACTCGAAACCGGTAATCAAAATTTTCCCGCCCGAAGTGGTTTTCCCCGCCATTTCCGTCTGGTCTAGACGCTGTGGTTCCGGATTCGGGTTTCAAAACGGGTCAGAGTGGGAGTTTTGTGGGTGGGTCACCCAAACCCGAACCAATGGGAAGCTGCCGCTATTTAAAGAGAGGCTGATTTAATATGACGATGCATTTCCACAGAATGGAGATTTTCACCAGATGACGTGAGATTTTATTAGCCTGCGCGCTGACTAGATTTTTCTGCTGGTAAGCTTGTTACTGTTACTCGAGGCTGGTGGAGATCGCGTTAAATTGCAACATCGAGATCACCACAAAGAATCCAGAGGAAACAAAGGAAGTTTTTGAACTTCAATTTGTTCTAGTCTGTTATCAATTTTGCTTTGTTCTTATTGCTGGAGAAGTCATGAATTCTATGGACGGTGTATCCCAAAAGAAAAATCGCTCAGGCGTCTCGAAAGAAAACCAGAAAGGGGAAAGAATATGGATAAGACCCGATTTGCCTTCCAAATGTACATGGCACCTCGGAATTGACCGAAAAGAGTCCCCCCACAAGCATATCGACTACCCAAGGTACTTAACTATTTAGGCCATGCATTCTTTCCTTTCTTCTCCGTTGTGCTTGCTTGGGATCCACTCTCAAGCTTAATTTCATTCAGAAGCACTGACAAATAGCCTGAAAATAGTTTAACAGCTAAGTAAGTAATCTAAAAATAATAGGAAACAAATTGATGATCAAGCTGCATATGGCACTATTTTTTTATTCACTTTATTTAATGTTGGTTTACAAAATAATAGCTAATAAACAGCTAATTAACACCAACTAGACTATGAAATGGCCAAAACCGTTTTCTAGCCCAGCAACCTATTCGATTCAAGGTATACTTAATTTTTATATTTAAGCAGACTGCCTTACTTAAAAGACTAACTTAATTTTTGCAAAAACAGCTATGGTGTAAAGGGACAAAGGAGCACATTTTGGGGGTAGTTAGTGGGGCTTAAGACAAATGGGCAAACTTTTGTGGTTGTTTTTACCATTATCGTTGATATCACAATCTGACTGAATATCATACTTTAACAACTCCTTGTATATCTACATAAACTTGGTTACAGTAAATTAGAGAGAAACTTACAGTAAATTAGAGAGAACTTTCTTCTGTGAAGAACATGAAAAAACCCAACTTAGAGTCTGGTTTAAATGCCTTTTCCAAGTGGACAGGTGATTTGATTTTTTTGGGGAATGATGCCATTTTTAAGATGTTCCATGCTGCAGCTTCTTTAAAATCAGTTAGCATCTTGTTTCAGCAGAGTTAAAAATCTTTGTAATAAAGAACCTCTTTTTCTCAAGATCTTTTTGAATCTGCTTGTGTATCTGTCCTTTTTCGCCTCTTACTTTTTTCTGACATCATAGCAGGTACATGCAATGATGCTTAAACAAATTAAATACACTTTATACAAACATACAGAAATTTAAACTAACATACTTAGAAGTAGTAAATAATCTTGCCTGCAGCTACGATACCATAGTGAGACCTGCCAAAATTTAATAAAATATGATGATGGCAAGTTTTGTTAAACAGGATAAGATAAATTTGTATTTCCATACATATTCATAATAATTCTATTAATAATACACCAATAAGCTTTAAAATTCATTGTTACTAGGGATTTTCTCTCGCTAATGCACTGAGTAACAGGACTTTTCCTTCATACACCTAAGGGATTTTGCCAGGCCCAGGCCGGACACATTCGAGCCAACCTACATGGAGAATTCACTCTGATATTGGAGAAGTTCAGACGATAAACAACAACTCAGTGAATATAATAAGTATATACCAAATTCAATTGGATGAAACCATGTTTACTACAAAATAATAAACTATCAAAACAAAACAAACTTTGACAAAACTGAAGTTATTAATGATACTTTAAATAAGTTCATATTATATTCTTGAAGTAGTCCACAATGAAATTTTACTTGTATTAAGATTCAAATTTTGAGTGTTTTTGGAAGAATTGTCTGTCTTCATTCAATTGAATTATAACCTAGAAGGTAGACATGGCAATAAGTTACTTACAATAACAAGAATCATAATTTTGTTCATTTAAATATCCTAGTTTTTGCTGTGGTCCTAGCTACAAGGCCTAGTTCAAAATTTGGCTTAACTTGCTATATTTGAAAGTGACATCAAAATCAAACTGGTCTGAAAATTATAAGTAGAATAAACGCTTGCAATAAATTCTGCCCTTGTTTTCAATTTCCCGAACCATGCCTTTCTCCTTCAGTTACTTATCTATCTCCATTAATTTGACTTGGGATATCATGGAGCTAAAAAAAGCTGAGATTTTTATTCATTTTTGTTACTGCGCATTTGATACCAGTCACAAAGCACAACAATTCACGCAAAGAAGTGAAATAAATTGTAAAAATCCTTCCATACATTCTATAAAAAAAATTACAGGAAAATACCGCAAAAAGAATTACTTGCCGTTGCAAAGCTGGAACTTTTCACTGTAACAGCCACACCAGAGAAATTGCAATTCCTAGAGAAGAAGAAGACTGTCCATACAAACAAACTAACATATTTACTTGGAATGAAAGAGCTGTGCAAAGGTGCAAATCAGGGGGGTGGGTTTAGAAATTTTTGAGCAGAAATCAAGAACGAGACAAATTTGAAGTTGCCAGTTTTTGAGTACTTTGGGATATGAGTCTCTGTTGTAGTGTTCGTCAAATGAGGCTGTAGCAAAACAGAGGCTCATGGAGTGAGTCTAGTCATTGTATGAAAGGGAGTTTATTTAGGAGGAGCTCGCAGCAGCTAGGCTAGCCAAGGAGAGAGCGCCTCCAGTGTTAAAAAAGATTTGTGAACTTGGCAAATTTTTTCAAACTGGTAACTCCTCGTATTTATGACCATGGCAACAAACCAAAACTCATATTTTGGGATAGTTGGAGGGTCATGGTAGCCAACCTTCTCTGATAGAAGATGGTACCTGATGATGAATTCCTCATAACTCAATGAAATATGAAAGGCTTTTATAATTAGAATTAGTTTTAAAGAGAAGGTTTTCAGATTTTAAAGAAAAACATTAAGAGATACTGACCTTTTTATATCAACAGGAATGTCATCCCAGCAGTTTGCTCCTTGATAATGTACTGATCTTCAGCCAAATGTAAAATTTGGTCCTCAAAAGTGCCTGGTTTATCTAAAACTACCATGGATCTGTAACATTTCCTTGCGATTTTAAATTTAGATCAAAGAGAATGTATACTGCCTCCCACCATAATTTGAAATTATATTGCAGATTTTAAAGCTCATATGAAGAATACTCTAGAAATAACATTCTCATCCTTTTTGTCTCTGAAGGAATATATCTCTATACTTCTTTGTATCAAAACAATACGGCATGGATACCATTGCTGCTATTAGTTCTATTTAGACCTATTTGTAAATAATCTTGTATGTTTAGGGCCTGGTCATTCAGGCCGACAGGGTAGTTTGTTTCAAGAATGGCTATAGTAGGTTTATCTCCTTTGCGTTAATCAATTCTGGATATGCATCTTTGAAAATTAAAATATATTTTGCTGTTGTTTCATTAGAATGTGCTTCGATTTGGAACAATACAGATAAGTTTGGTCTATAAAAATATTTATAATGTAATGTCATTTCTTTGAATCACATCAATAAGATCTGTTGTCTTTTTTTAGGAAAAAGGAAAAAATCTTGCCAAATATTCTAAACTTCATTGGGAATACTCCACTTGTTAGGCTCAATCAAATTGGAAAAAGACATGGGCTCAAATGTGAATTGTGTAAGACAATAACAATTTGATAATATATGGTGAAATTTTGATTAATTGTTGAAAGATGCTTAATGTTCACTATTTGTTGCAATATCAAAGTTTTTGATAATCATTTTAAATTAAACTTTCATTAACATAAAGTTTTGACCTAGCCACAAAAGGAAGGAGAAAAAGATTTTCTGTGTGAGCAACATACTGAAACAGATTGACTAAACTTAATAATTTCTGCATTTAATTTTCATTAAACGCTTTAAGTGCTTTTTCAAGTTAGTAATCCTTTTTTATGCAGTGGCAAAATGTGAATTTTTTAATGCTGGAGGCTCTGTTAAGGACCGCATTGGGTACAGAATGGTAGCAGATGCAGAAAGGGATGGAACAATAAAACCTGGGTTTACTTTGATTGAGCCAACATCAGGAAACACTGGTAAATAAAACTGAGTTTAATATGAAAACATGCTTTCCCTTTTCTGTAGTGAGCTCATTTGAGCATGTTTTTACTGTACGTTGTCTCAATTTATGTTAGCCTTCATCAAAACTACAGTACAATCTCTGAACAGCAATGTTGTCCAAACTTTGGGGTTTTGTCAGGGTGCACTCTCCAGATTTTCATTATGGGGCTGCTGACAGGCCACTCTGTCTCTCTTGGTAAATTCATTGATACGTGTCAAGGACTGACTTTTTGACAGGCAATTTTTTCACGTAGGCTAATATCTGCCAACCTATCATGGTCTTCAAAAGTTATCTAAGTGTCTTCAAAAATTATATAAGTGCGTAAATTGCGGCCACCTCCCATTGACCTCAGAGCTGAATGTGGCTAGCATCAGAGGTTCAACTGTATACTTTAATTGCGCTTACGTAGACCAAGGTCAAATCCTCTTGCACACAATTCTAGCCCTAGTTCCTTCCTTGCTATTTTTGTAATCCCACATATCTTAGCCACGACAAAATTATTAAGGACTAAACAGCCTGTCATTGCTGCATAGCACTGGGATTCAGTATTAAACACAAATTTGTGGCCTATTGTATAATGGTTACTTTCTTCTGTAAAATTTGTTCTCATTATGTTATATCTTTTGGTAAAGTGTTGAAGTTTTTCATACACACATAGTGATATTGAGAAATTATGGCAGCACAAAAGTAGGGAGATCCAGACGTACAAATTTGTGGCCTATTGCTTAATGGTTACTTTCTTCTGTAAAATTTGTTCTCATTGTGTTATATCTTTTGGTAAAGTGTTGAAGTTTTTCATACACACATAGTGATATTTTGAAATTATGGCAGCACAAAAGTAGGGAGATCCAGACGTACAAATTTGTGGCCTATTGTTTAATGGTTACTTACTTCTGTAAAATTTGTTCTCATTGTGTTATATCTTTTGGTAAAGTGTTGAAGTTTTTCATACACACATAGTGATATTTTGAAATTATGGCAGCACAAAAGTAGGGAGATCCAGACGTACAAATTTGTAGCCTATTGTTTAATGGTTACTTACTTCTGTAAAATTTGTTCTCATTGTGTTATATCTTTTGGTAAAGTGTTGAAATTTTTCATACACACATAGTGATATTGAGAAATTATGGCAGCATAAAAGTAGGGAGCTCCAGCGGTGCAATGTCAAAGTTTTCTCTAATGGAGCAGATTGTGCAGGATCGTCCATCAAGGCGATGGTCTTGTAATGTTTCAAAAGACTTGTCCTTTTTATGATGTCAACATTACAATCTGATTACCTGTGTGCACAAAACATTGTTCTCCGATCTGCAGAATTGCGAACGCGTCTTATCATGCCTTCAGACATTCTCAGCAATGCGAAAAACGACATTTAAGGTAGCGAGAAAAGGGATCTTTTAGCAAATGTTCTTTTGTTTGCCTTGAACCCATATTGACTTATCATACTTGTAAACTTGAATGACTTTTTGTCCACTTTTCAGCGATCTGTTATTTCGGCTATGAAGTGCATTCACCTCCTGAACAGATAAAGAAAATGTTTATGGACAACTTATGAAATAACCATTTTTCCAATTGTCATCACCTTGATGTAAAATATTTTGATACTTGGCGATTAAGCTGCTTTTATAGACAGGGGTTTTTGCATAAACATCTAGCAGACTGCCTAACCGAAGTTCTTAAAGTTTAAATCTAAAAAATAAAGGCCATTGATCATTTTAAGCATTGGAATATTCTGGCAAATGACCTCAAGTCACGTTTCTGGAAGTGTGAGAAATGTCAGCAAAATTTCGACTTTAGAATTTTTCAAATCTTATGGAAGGAGCTTGCAAATCTAAGCAAAAAAGTAACGAAACCCCGAATTGATCTGACCTTTGAGTCAATGTTATAATAGCTGTTGAAGTCTTTCGTTTTCTCATAGTGCAGTCACACAATTTGATCTGCTGAAAGACATGAAATGCAGGTCCAGCTTTAAACATCACCAAATGCTATTTTTAGAGAAGCTATCACGTGTCGCGCTAAAATGTTTAACTTAAATTTTGTTTCTTGGCGTAGTATGACGGGCTAAATAAAATGAGGTGCAGGTCCAGCTTTAAAACATCACCAAATGCTATTTTAGAGAAGCTATCACGTATCGCACTAAAATGTTTAACTTAAATTTTGTTTCTTGGCGTAGTATGACGGGCTAAATAAAATGAGGTGCAGGTCCAGCTTTAAAACAATTTTCATTGAAACATCTTTAAAACAGACTTTGAGCTTCATTTTACAATCATTAGCAAATTTCCTGTAGAAATATTGCCAGGCTCTAACCGTGCGTTTTTTGGGGCTTTTACCGAACAAAACCAATAAAGTAAATGCCAAAGGTGATTCTTTTCCAATATTTTTGTATTGCATTGCATTGTGATTACGGGGATTTCAACTTTCAAACTTTCTGTCCCTACATGCATTTTGTAGGATATATTCTGGTGACCAAGGAACAAAATTTATAAAGTATCTTGAGATTTAGAGTCACCCGGGTTTACAGGTACTCATTTTGCTGTGTAGGACTTGATATGACCAAAAAAGCACCAAACCTGATATTGATGACACAGAAACCAGATATTACCGAGCAACTCTATTGATAACCAGCTTTATTGATGATATTGATGATGCGTACTTATAATATGAAATACGTTTTTCGGAACTGTTCTTGAAAACACAAAAGGGTTTTTAACGTTATTTTTAGGCATTGGGATTGCCCTTGCTGCTGCTGTCAAAGGATACCGCTGCATCATCGTAATGCCAGAGAAAATGAGCTCTGAGAAGGTTTGATCAAATAAGTTTTTCAATGTATGGTTGACATTTTATGTGATGTGTCTCTGTCATCACTCATATGTCCTGTTTCCAAGTGTTTACATCTGTTCACGTCCTGTTTAACGTATCAGTATTTGACCCCCTTCTAATATTGAAACCTTAACAGGCAGCTGACTGCTTTTTCTGGTGCTGACTGCCGTGAGCTAAGAATTGGAATGTTGTTGTGTTGTAAATTGTGTCTTTTTGCAGGATCATTGGTGGGATCATTGGCGGGATCATTAGCAGGGGAAATTAGCGATCTGGATTAGATCTGAATATTTCCTGCTTATTATTTTGGATATCGTCTATTCGTATTAAAACTTTGAGCAAGTCACCAGTAACTATTTATGGTCACTTTGGTACTTCCCGGACTTTCAGTTTCATTCTTAATACATTCTTAATCTCAAAGGTCCTTTTGTATAGAAATAGGAGTAATGGTATAACTTTATCTGGCGTTATGAATAGGGCAACATTCTAAAAATTACCTGAAAGTAGGTTTATTGATCTAAAATTCAAACAGCATTGCTTACTTCTGTTGTCATGATATTTTTAATTATTTAATTTTAGGTGAATGTTTTGAGAGCTCTTGGAGCCGAAATTGTGCGAACTCCAACATCTGCAAGATTTGACGCCCCAGGTTTCTGTTAAGTTTTTTGTTTGGTGTTAAGGCCGTAAAGTAATTAAGTAATGCAAATGTTCAAGGAAAACGTCACTGTTGCAGCATTAAAGACACTTTTGTTTGTTTGATTTATATTTCTCCATATGAAAAAACAGATAATAGGAACAGATATCTTCAGGTCATTTTCAAAACTATTCAATTATTTCAATTTGATCAAAAACCATTTCGTAGATTTTCGTTGTCATCTGATCCCTATCATGATTTTGACTTTCTTCCTTAGACTGAAGACCGTATAGAAGTGCAGGAATTGTTCATATGCTTAGGGAGTAAACTGCTAAATTTCGAGAGTAAACATACTGAATTTATAGTTTCTGCTCACCTACATAACCTCTCGTTGTCTACCAAGCAGGCGATTAGATTGCGATTTACTAAAATGCTGCGTTGGTAAAATGCTGTCTCTATTCTAATCTATGCTGATTCTTTCAGAGTCGCACATTGGGGTAGCGCACCAGCTACAGCAGCAGATTAAAGATTCAGTTATTTTGGACCAGGTACTCCTCAAGAACCTGATTTTCTTTAAGCACGGGCGTCATGAACCCTAGAAATGCACCCAAGTCCCGTTCATCATTTTCCAAGAAGAACATTGACTCAATAGGATCTCAGGGGTTGAAATCCCAAACTCTTTATCGAAAAACGCTAGTGGGGGGGGGGGGGCAGTTAATTCTTGTTGCCATTCACCCCTGTTGTTCATTAATATACCGCCCCAGACACCAGAGTATTGGATCATTTTGGAAATCGTTGACAATTAATGTTTCCAGAATCGTTTTCCACGGTACCATTTAAATTGGCTGTGTAAACCGCACTGACGACGTGGTGCTGGGTAACGTTCAGTCAATTGTTTAGGCTAAGGGTGGAGCTTGTTTTTTTCCTCCTTTATTCGTTTATGTCTTGTGTATGCACTTCCTGATGTTCTGCCTGGTGCATGTTATTTTGCACATTTTGGATCTATTTGTTACCACCCGTATGCGATAAAACCACGTGGTCTTTTCTTGGTTTAGCTCCATTTTGTTTATGTATTCTTCACTGCACTTTTGATTCTTGCAGTATCGCAATGCTGGCAATCCTCTCTCTCATTATGATGAAACGGCTGAAGAAATTCTTGATGCTTGTGATGGTTAGACTTTTTACTTGCATGCGTATGATAAAAATACGGAAGAGTTATCCTAAGGCTATTCTTCGTTAGATCTTCTATAATTGCCTTCTCATTGAATGCCTTGCTGAGAATATTTTCAATTTTTTTAAATATCCTCGCCTGTCTGACCTGGAAAACTGGGCCAGGAATGCATATTTTTAGCAATATTATTCGTAATTGTCGGCTTCATAGACCAACACGAAATAGAAACTCAAAAGCCCTTTTAGAAAGTACGTTTTCGGAAGTTTTTTGGCTCATGGCACTTTAATATTTCAGCAAAAATCTTTGGGTGAAAGAAATGTTTTCAACTAGTAATGCAATGTTTCCGACCAGTCACAAAATCTGTGGTGAATTCGTATGTAAAGATATAAGTCTCAATCTATGTAAATTATTGCATGAAAGATGTAAGTAGGTTTTCGTTAAGGAACTTGGACTTAAAAAACATATGTTTCTGAGTGCGTTTTTTTCGTAGTATTTTATCACCTATTAAGCCTTTTTGTTTTGACCAAGCACATTTTGTTTGTTCAATCTTTGAGCAATAAACATCAGTATTTCGCAAGAGCATCCTCCAGAATTTCTCTTATGTAAAGAAATCTGATTGGTTTCACTTTAGGTAAGTTGGACATGATTGTTGCGGGTGCTGGCACCGGGGGCACATTAACTGGTCTTGCCAGAAAACTGAAAGAGAAAGTGCCAAATATTACGGTTCGTTGTAATTCTTTAACCTTCGTTTTTTCTTTTTTTTAGGAAAACTTTTTCCCACTTCCCTTATGCTTTTTTTAAAGTATATGTTTTAGATGTAAGATCTGTCGAGTTCTGTATTTATATAAAACAAATGGAATTATTCACAATCGCTTCTTTTATAATAACTGGGTAATCATTTGTTTTAGGTTGTAGGAGTTGATCCATATGGGTCTATTCTGGCGCTTCCAGAGAGTCTCAACGAAACAGACACAACTTACTACGAGGTACAAATAACGTTTATAAATACTAATAATCGATATTTTTTAATGGTGTTTATAATTTTTATGCAGACGCTTATTTTCCGCCCCACTTGCATTGAGAACATGATAACATTACATTATTTCCAACAGGAAAGAGACTTTAATGCCCGCCAAAAGTACTTGGAACACCCAGCAATTTGCGTTGCATTTGATATCTTCCATTCCTTTTCCGAAAGAAATAACTACTTCCCCCCTCTCCCTCTAGAACAATGTTGATAATTTAGGGAAATATCACAAAACAAAAAAAGCGCCAAAGAAAGTGCTTCCTAAAATCTTAAGCCGTCTCATAATGAACAAACATTGTTCCGTGGGGGAGAGGGGGTGATTGATTTTGACCTTGGAAACTGACGTCAGTGTTCCAAAACTTTTGGCAGGGATTGTAGTTATCACTCAACCTAGAAATGTATCTTTCAAAGAACCACATAAAGGATGAAACTCACATACCTTCGTATTCCTTTTAAAACATGTAGCAACTAATTTCTAGTTTTTGAGCTGACTTTATGGCTTCCAAATCTCAAGCAAGAATAATATTTCTCACCAATTTTCACTATGATAGTCTCTCTATATCCTTTTCTCGATAATAGTCTCTCACTATCCTTTTCTCGTTGGGAAGAAACTCACTCCTAATAACCAGAATGACAAAATATGTCATCCGGGTAAAGACGTTAGAGCCATTTCCATCAGTGAAGAAACTTACTACGAGAAACCTAGATTTTTCTGAATTGATACCAGTTCGTATCGACAAATGCTTTGGGCAAATGTGATCATACGTACCGACAAATGCTTTATCTTTTAAATTAGGAAAATTTCTTCTTTTTTTGTTCAGTTTAAGCTAATTTTTTACTTTCATTAATTAAGAGAATTCCTTCTTTTGGAGATGCCACTTAACTTTGAAATAATCAATCCACTACAGAAATCCTTTTTGCTATCAACACCAACCAACCTACTTTAGCAAATCAACCGACAATCTATTCATCCAAACCATTATTCACAAGCTGATATTTATCCAATTCCTTTCATATTATAATCTCTAAAAACATTCAGTAGAGTTAAGACAGCCACATTCTATCATAATAAAAGTATTTTTCAAATCCTTGCTGTTTGTAGTCCATGTTATATGATCAGCTCCATATGCTTGTCTCTTCTATTTCAAAACTTCTATTTCTTGTTAACATTTATATTAAGCAGAAAGGGTACAAAGACCAGTCGGTGAGGTACACTGTTCGTTCTCTTTTTCTATTTTTCCAGCACTTGGGAGCCCCTTTGAAGCTTTGTATAAGTTTTAGCGACATTATACTAAAGCCACATCCACAATGTCAGACATAAAGCCACATTCTCAGTGTCATACAAGTAGCAATTTGTGATGATTGTATGAATCTTTTATCTTAAGCCTTGGGCAAGTTTTTTAGCGAAATTTCCATAAATCCTTCAATATCTAAAATTTTTTGAGATGCCCTCAATAATTTGGCCATTTGTATTACAGGCGAAAAGTTCCAGCCAGACGCGTTTTTGCTCGTTTTGCATATTATGTAATCTTTTTTAAAATTCACTATTTCATTTCATCTTTCCATTTGATAATATACACAATACTCTTTCAGCTAATTCCAATCTAATATAATTTTTAAGTTTCATTCGTAAGAAATAAATCAATCCAGTAGGCTGTGTTTTGATTTATTGAGTTATTCCCGGCTCGATAGGTTTCCTTTTAAATGAAGCAAAAGGAACCGTCTCCCTTATATCGGTAATATCCAATAAACATATTATTTTATTTGGCTATTCGACTGAAGTTGTCTGCCCGTCAATGGAAAAATTATTTTAAAACTAAATTCGCATTTACTTGGTAGTATAAAATATTTAAATTTTGATTTTGCGCCCGCGTGTTAGCAAATTCGTAGTTCATAGTAGTTTGGGTGACGGGTTTGATTTCGACGTCCTGTATTTTCGACTGCTGATCGACGCCAAATTTTTTTCTAGGTTGAAGGTATTGGCTACGATTTTGTACCAACCGTTTTGGACAGAAGCGTGGTTGATAAATGGATGAAGAGCGAAGACAAGTCCTCGTTTTTGTTCTCACGGGAACTGATCCGATACGAGGGTCTGCTATGTGGTATGCAACACCCTTTGAAAACCTTTTGTAGTCCATCAAGAGCCCACTTGCATGGTCCAGTTCTTCGTTCTTACATGGTCGCTTTCGATTGAATTCAAGAACAACTCCAAGAGAAAATAAAACAGACTTATCTATCAGATTACTAAAGAAATTAGAATTCCAGAAATCGTTCTTTTCGTGTTTATTTGCCCATAGATTTTGACGGGCCTATCTTCACAACAGGTGGTTCTTGCGGTTCTGCCGTTGCAGCAGCTGTTGAAGCAGCCAAAGACTTGGGACCAGATCAAAGATGCGTTGTGATTCTGCCAGACAGCGTTAGGAATTACATGTGAGTCCCGCTATTTAATCAGCCTCTACCTGATGTTAACCGGTTGCTCCATTGAGTAGAAATCGCTGATCCGTGCTAGACGAGGCAACTTGGGTGATAACGGTAAAGTTGTTTTTCGCAATGTAAGTTCCTAAGGAGAATCGATAAGCTGCCATAGATTACGTTGCCAATGTTTTTCTTTCATAAAATTCAAAGATTACGCAGTATATTATGGCAATATGTTTATTCTCGGACTGTGACCTGTTTTCTATTGTCGATTGAACATCAATATGCTGTTTATGCAGCTTTGTTTTGCCATGGTCTCAGCCCCTCTTTTCTGCCCTAACATTGACAGTATGTGATCATAATATCCCTCGGTTTATCCGCGGGTAATCCTTTGCTTAAAGTTAAGCAGTCTTATACGTCTATGTTATAGGACGAAATACCTGAATGATGATTGGATGGCGGAAAGAAGCTTCATTGAGCTAAAGCCAGATGACCCCAAAAAGACTTGGTAAGTATTTGAAAGATTTCCCTTCGTTTTTGTCGCTATGAATTGTATCCTAAAGAATCTATTTATTCAGCTGGTGCAGCACGTTGCCAATCGTTTAAAGGGTTCTTTGCTAGGTGTTGACATTGAAAATGAATTTCTTTACTTTCTATAATTATAACAAACTGAAAGAATTCATTTCTTCAATGAATTTTAATGAAGGCTTTAACGGTTTTAAATTCGTCCATTGAAGATATGGTAGCAACATTAATTTGTAAAATACCCCAAATTTAGCGTCGATAGTAGAGCGTGATTTTGCGCAGTTTAGCCCATAATATCTCTTGATCACTTACTTATACAAGAGCTATTAGGGAAATCTGAGCAGCCTTTATTGTCTAAGGCAACTGCGGTAGAACATCTGGAGCGGGAAGGGGAGGGGTAAATGACAGGCAACTAGCGAATTTGTATACCCCGCAAGAGTTTGAGACATCACGCTTTTTAGCTGGAAAACCCTTCAAATGCCAGGATCAAACACCATACCAAATCAGCCCTGGAACAATACTTGATTGAATCATTTCTCAGGAAATTTAAAGTCTTTGATTAATTGAAAGGATAATTGCATTTGGTTTGGGTTATTTTAGCACCAGTTGAACAATGCTCCAGCACTGGCTGAACAATATCCCCTTGTTTAGAAATAGTCATTTGCAGCCAAATCACCTTTCTTCTTCTATACTACAAAGTAAGGGCAACATTAATAACACCACGTAATTTTTCTTCACAAATCCTAATCAGCTTTTAATTTTACAAATCTACTTTATTAAAAAAACTGGGAAGAAAAAGATCTAAATCATGTTGCTAATTAGCCTGCGTCCGTGACGTTTTTGGTCTGTGACGCAGGCTAGTTGCTAATGAAATAGATTAAATTGCAGTGGAGTGCTGCTTTTTCTAGGGATCGCGTTCAGCGGAAATGCTAATGTAGCAGTTAGTATCTCAATCCATAGTTTCGCACCAAAATAGAGAAAACCCTTTTTTGGATATCAGTATCATGCCGGTTTCTCGTGGCATAGTTAGAAATTTGAGACCTCGTGATGAAATTTCCCTGGAGACTGTTGGGGCATTAGTTTTTCATCATTCTATAAGATATAACAGCCTGATCGTGTCTCATATGTTAGAGACAGAGAGCCAGTAGCATACCCATCTGTTTTTCAATCTGGATCTTTCAATCAGTGTGCGAGCTCTGTCCTGAAGACGCAGTAGATGTTTTATTAATCTCAGACAGGCAGCCCCATAATTCATGGTTTGGCAGCATTGATCTCTCCTCGTTATGTAGGGTGACGACTAGGGCTGTCCAAACCTTCAGATATTCCTATTCGGTTATTCGGCTTAAAATTTAACGAATATTCGGTTATTCGGCGAATATGGGTGTGGCAAAATGGGTGTGGCAGGGTGGTGGTAAAAAACTGCAATCTGAAAATTTATTGTAATTTAACCAAGCTGTGAATATAGCTAATCAGTCATTACTATTCGATAAGTTAGAACCATTAATTTTTTGTTTTCCTATTGATATTTCCTGTGTTTTGTGCTGCAAAGCAATTTTTAAAACGATTTTTTGTCAAAAATAAATGTTTTCTTGAACCTTCCCTAGCATTAGTCACCCCCAATGGCCAGAAAGTCAGTATCAAATTGACGAGAAACTATAGTCGTAAGTCTTCAAAAAGGGTCGTTTTCCAACATTTTGTGAAATGAAAAGCTTTCTAGCACGGGCTTCGACACAGGTTGGGAAGTCGAGAAAGGGGGGGGGGCAAGAGAAAATTTAACACTCACAACAGAAGATTTTGTGAAAAGTTATATTATTCTGCAAAATAGTGATTGGGCCATAGCCCCCCGGCCACCCTTCGTCTGAGGCCCTGAAAAAACCCCATGACCCCCACCTGCAACCCAGGCTCCACTCCCCCTGCCCCCTCCAATCTTGCTTCATTCGCTTTGTAACTATTTCTTGGGTTTGCGATTTTTGAAGAAGGCCCGTATCCATGAAACTTTCTCAAAGATTGAAGATAGGAAGTTGCCTTTCCCTTTTAGAGCAATCCTTGCTATTCGACCAGTCAATGCTATTCGATCAGTCACGGTTATTCGAATAGTCACAGCTATTCGATCAGTCACGGCTATTCGATCAGTCACGGTTATTGGAATAGTCACAGCTATTCGATCATTCACGGTTATTCGAATAGTCAACGCTATTCGATGATTCACGGCTATTCAAACAACCATTGTGGACCTCCAACAGTGAGGTTATTCGCACTATTCGTCTCCAACCGAATAATCGTACTATTCGAACTATTCATTTGTAACCGAATAATCGTACTATTCGAACTATTCCTTTGTAACCGAATATTCGCTTTGGGCTTCAGCTAACCGAATAGTGAAACAGGTAACCGAATACCGATTATTCGACCTTCGGTGGACAGGCCTAGTGACGACCACCGACAAAGCCTCCAACAACGCCGTAAAAAGCTACAATCGTGGCCAAAAGGTCACTGGAATAGAAAAAAAGCCGTTAAGTAGCAGCAGGGTATACTTTTACCCCAATAATGATACCAAAAACCCTCTCCCCTGCAACAATATTTGTTATTTGGACAATGCATGTATTCAAGCAATCAGAGTGAGTAGAAATTAGCATATCAACGTTGCTTGTAGCGGGCGGGAGAGCATTTTTTAAACGGACAACAATTTTCTCAATCAACGTATGGCCACGATTGGGAACTTATGACTTTGGGAACATTATGTAATGAATCTGGGAGACTAAATATAAATTAAACAAATATTGAAAAGCAACAATTGACCTAGTAAATCTGTGGACATGTGACATGTTTCCCTACATGCATCGATCTAGTTCTCTACTTGGTAGACATATGCATTGCTGTGTGAGATCATAGTGATTGTGTCCAAACAGTATCACCTCCTAGCCCTCAGCATCAGTCTGCTTTATGTTTCTCAAGAGAGCTTCAAACATACATGTATCTGTACTAGGTGTTTTGGGGCGATCCCTAATTTTTTTATTTTTCGATCAGTGATAACTTATATCCCCTCTTTGGTGAAGTTATAGAGTGCTTTTGACGTAGATAGCTACTCCGTCTCCAAAGGTGTCCCAGTCATTTCTATATTTGATATTTGGTTTTTACAGGTGGTGGAATGAAAAAGTAAGCAGACTGGAACTGAATACTCCCCTGACAGTATTGCCAAGTGTTAGCTGCCAAGAAGCAATTGAAATTATGAACAGGTTTGTTCATATACCGTCATGTTATTATTCATAGATGGATGTATTTCAGTCCTCTGTGCTGATTGTTGTGTTTATCAGTTAATTGCAAGACTTTTCTTTTTTACAGGGAAACATATGACCAACTCCCAGTAGTAAATGAAGGCGGGTACGTGTTCACATTCATTTTTTGTTCACTACCTGTTAAGACACATCCAAACATTACACACAAAATTTTATCTGTGCATTACAACTCGTAACTCGAGACTCGTAACGTTGGTTTCGTAACTCGAATGAATTCGTTATATTTGATCACCGGCGAGGGTTAGGTTTTGTTGTGTTGAATGCAGCTGATAGTAAGTCCTCGCCTATGTTAATTCATTTTCTGGATTGATCTGTGTAATTTCATTTATGAAAAATCGTTTCAGATTCGTGCTTGGTATGATTACACTTGGAAATCTAATGTCAAGAACAATTGCTGGCAAAGTGACCCCAGAGACCCCGTTGTCTGAATGCATCTATTCTAAATTCAAGAAGGTATTTATTTGTTCTGGTTAATTTGCCAGCGTTTTACATGGGATGGGCTTATAACAGAGTCTCTTTACGGCTGCATTTTCTTTGCGTTTCCATTTTCTAGCCTTAAAGTTTAATGAAATATTTATCTCGCCTTGTACCAATGTATTTTGTAATCATTTCCAGCACCGTTCATTAGTGTCGTCTTGGGCCTGAATGCATGTCTTAAAGCACATTTTCTGGCCTCCTGAGAGTTTTGTTACATACCTCGAGTAAAACGGCGCAGGCACAGATTCTAGACAAGAATAACATTGCAGGGAAACTTGTTGCACCATCTGTTTATGTTTTGTACTGACTTGCCGGATGAATAAAAGGGAAGCACCATGAATTGGTTAGGAGTCCTAACTTAGGACCGACTCTATCCATTATATGTCTAACCTCTTTCGCAAATTTTTCACGATAAACAATTACAAAATTGTAAGTACTTTTGTACATTTGCAACAAAATCCAAAAGCAAGATTAGAACGACTCAAAAAACCCCAGGCAACGTAGTACCTTCAGTTCGCAATAAAAAATTTGCTCTTTTGGAAGTATTCTCCCAGAAGATTAGAGATTTTCTCTTTGAAATTGAATATTTGTTTCGCAAGTGCTTCTAATCGAATGGTTTGGTTTTTAACAATAATGTGGAGCTAAGTCTGCCAGACTGTAAATTACTTAGAAGGGTTACAATAGCCATAGAATCTTCACTTCAAACTGGTTGTTGGAATATTTTCATCCAGACAAGCTCCAAACCTTTAGGGCCTTTACAAGTTAGTGTAACATCACTTTATGATGGAACGAAAGAATACGTATTATCTAATCCTTAAAAGCTGATTGTATCATAACTGCGAGTTGGTATTTTTGTCATTGCAAGATTCATAAAATCCGGCGGACGCTCTAGAGTGCGTTTTTTATTTCCGTTTTTGGCATATTTGCAAAGTGAACTGTTGAGGTCAGCAATCTGGTCTAATGAAAACCAAAAACACTATCCAATGTTTTGTAATCTAAGCCATGTCGGTGTTGTTTCCATTGCAACTTGCATTCAATCTTAAGCCACATTTTGTAGGATTGTATCGTATTTATCTTTTCGACGTCTTACTGAGTTCCTTTTTCTTGTACCAGGTTTCTCTGAACACCAGCCTGGGTTCCTTATCAAGAATTCTTGATCATGAATATTTTGCATTGGTTGTGCATTCACAGCGGCTTTGTAAGTAACACTGTCGTCTTAGCTGCTTCACTACCCTGTTCAAGTTGACGTCTTTTTGCATCGGTAGCAGTTTAGTGCGTCTCTTAGCATAAGCTTTCCTATTACTTAAAAATGTGCAAGTGTTGTCAAACAATATTTTGTAGCTCTAAAAGAGCCTTGTGTTTACCTGATACCGAAATCGGCACCATTCTCAAACACGATTCTAGTATCACAGCTTCTATAGATAAAGCTATAGATGTTCTTCAACTGCCTGCTTATCATAGATATACTTTTCATGCTTATCATGTAATTTCGTGCAGATGCGGCGCGAGATGAGTCAGCTACAAAAGAGATCATTTTTGGCATCGTTACTCGAATGGATTTGTTACGTTTTATTACAAACGAAGCTCAGTTGTCTGATGATGTTTTGATGAAAGGACCTGACAGTTGATTGACTTGCTATGAAAACGGTCACTGAACAGAACCTTGCTGACGTATTTATACTTTGTATTGATATTCATAGATTTGAAATTGTATTTATTTATAATACTGCTAGTACTAGCTAAAAAGCAAAGGTAATCTTTTCAACTCTTAAATGCCTGTACCCGTGTAGCCAGACACGAGTAACATGTTTGGAACATTATGTCTAGGGACCTCTTAAAATTCATAATCCTTTATCGAAATGATTTCTTTGCGAATTATGACGAATTTTGCAAAGACGTTTAGATAACTAACTACAAATCGCTCGTCTTAAAGCTGGAAAGATAGGTTAATATGAGAATTTTTAGAATATTTTTTATACAAATAACCCTGCCCCACATGTCAAGCGTTTGATGAGTAGAGTGAAGATCTAATCATAAGTTATGGCAAAAAACTTAATTTTTTACCTCTAGAATCGTTTTTTAACTAAATTTACCGGCGGCATTTTCGCATTAACGCCCCCGTTCCCATAAACGCCTCCGTTCCCATAATTCTAGAAATAAAAAGTATACGTAGTTTGTTGTGGTTATTGAATTTTCTTAAAGTATATTTAGTGCTGCTATTGTTGCCGTTTTTCTGAGCCCTTCTTTCTCAATTTGCAACTGCTTTTATAGATAGCAAAAAGGATTTGTTAGATGATGTACTTGGCATCAAATCTTTAAAAAGCCTTGAAATTCAAAAACGGCAACCTTGAGGAGCAAGACTGTTTGATACAGTTACAATATTCGCAGTGAGAAACAGCTTACCTTTTCGCTGCCAACGCCGTTGTCAGAATTGCATTTTGTTAAGGTTTGGGATAGGATAACGCAAGAACTGATTTGATTTTCGCATATACAAATGTTGCGCAGGGCTCTAGCCAGTTGCAAAATTATCATAAAAAATTGCGCTTGAAAATGAGACGAAGACAAGAAAATGCATTTGCCTTAAATACTTAACCACAGAATAAAAAACAGTCGCAGATTGAAAATAATATGACATGCAATATTTTGTTCAAATGTGAAGGGTTAACAGACGCAGATTGGTAATAATATGAGATGTGCAATCCATATGGCTGATTTAGACTCAATTTGACTTTAAGATAATTTCAAGAGCCTTTTCAACTAAACAGGGCGAAATCTTCATTTTTATGTGGTTGGGAAGAAGTCATCAAGTAGGACAACATAAATTAAAAATCCACACACTATACATTAAAGAAGTATCTAATATTCAACTGATCCAACCTAATTATTGCAATACCGAAAAAACGCCGTTTTATTACATTAAATATATTTTTGCCAAGTCCAATTGATGCCCGCCTACAGCTCATGCACTCAAGGCCAGGCATATTATAACATAGAAAGAAAGCCTGCATCAGTCAGCAATAAATTACAATCATCAGTCCTGCTGCCATTTGGTTTGTAAGCTAAAAATAAGGATGAAGAAGAATAAAAACAAGAAAAAAGTAAACATGCGGTCTAACAACATTTATGTTGAGAAATGAGGCAGTTCAATTCATTAGATGCTCCAATCAAGAAAAGGGTCCATTCCAGGATGAGGAGATTAATAGCATGTGACGACAAAAAAGGTTTACTAAGCCCTCTTTATGTAATCAATGACAGTTAGCAATAGTATTCGATCGAATGGATGTGCCAACCGTATTTAATCAGACAATATTTCTATTTGTTACCTCCTAGCTTCCAGAGATAGTCTCTAGGACACTGAGTCTTGCAAAGGCTAATTTGAGAAATTAAAAACATTTCATGAAAGGGTCCCAATCTCACCTAAAACAAAACTTACTTTAGAAACCGAGCGGATGCACGGGAACCGTGGCTTGGTTATTGACAAGATCTCTAGCGATTTCTTTCTTTTTTGCGTCATTTGTGAGGCTCATGTTGTTGGAGAGGGACTTGAGATTCGTTGCAATACGATCAGATGCCTGAAGAAAAATCAAAAGACAAAATGAGCCTCAGCATATCGCACTTAGACGTTCATTAAAAAATCATCTAGTTCTGTTGAACCATTCCTTTAAAACAAAAATAATATAATGTCACGTCGCAGTGTCTTCCATAATCGTAAGTTAAGCCACGAATTCATACGTCAGCGATTGGTAAGATGGACTCATGCAGAGACGAACAGTTGCAGTTCTGTTTCTTTCTAGTCTTAAACAATCGCGAAATCTTTTCAGAAGAGAACAGAACATTTCGATGTTACCATTCAACGAACCAAGTGATGTTTTTGATTGAATGGGGAAATCTCTTTGCTCTATAACTTGCTCTATAACTTGTTCAATAATAGGCATTGTGAGAGATACATATTATCATATTTTATCATATAACGGTTGGAGAAATCTATTATGTTATCTATAATCAAAATTAATACAATTTCTTATCCAGCGACGCCTTCTAAACAGGTAGTAACAGAAAGTTTTTTCGCTCGTAAATTCTCAGAAATTCCTTAAACACAAAGGTTTTTATGCTGATCAAATGAAATATTATAAGAGTTTCACGAGTGATGCTATAGAATGTAAGGTCTCTGAGGATTCCTATTTTACTTAAATATTCATTGTCCACTGCCCAGAATTTTATGTTGCTTTGTAACACGAGTCAATCAAGTTATATCTAAGGTTGAGGGTTTATATGGGTTTGGTGAAGCACTGATGTACCAACCACCAATGAAGGACAGTTGCATTAAGACCTGACTTAACGAGGGATGTGGCATTATCATCTGAGGGAGGTATCTCAATTCAATTACTGTTCTTCGGCTGATGATGGTTTTTATCCCCGAGTGAGAAAAAACATGTTATTCGCCTTCTAATCTTCAGGGAAATGCCACTTTAAAAATATTAAATGATAAAGTTTAAAGAGCAGCAAAACATAACAAGAAACAACAGGAGAAAACACTTTGGTATATACTGCAGGAAGATTCCAAGTTGCCACTTTAGGTACCATGTTAAATTAGATAATCTTGGGTTGATTAAACGTGAAACTCGAAGATCGAACTTGGATAATCCCTTTTCAATGCAGTCAGGCATGTACAGCTCTGTCTATAGGACACAGTGCAATATTTAATAGTCTGCTGAACACTTATCTGCTTTACTGTTAAGAAATATGAAAAACTATATAATAATCACCTCTGCACAGTAAATTGAGCAAATATTTGTTTCATGTTCTGATGAGCTTGCTCCTTCATTGATTGACCGCGAAGCCCTAAAATGTAAAAAATATGCTTTCATATTCAGAGGTTCAATAACAACACCATTAAGGCAATCTAAATTTACGTGTATTCAAGTGAATTCGGTTAGTCTTCACACTAATAAATTTGAATGGCAAGCAAAGGCTGATTGACAAAATGAAAACCCCAGAAAACAAAAAGATTGTACGAAAAAGTACAAAGGAAAAAAAGAGTGTCAAATGCCTTGATAGGACGCAGATCATGCCATAGATATCGATGGCAGCATCAGCCAGGCGATAGCAAATCATTTGTTCATCTAAAATAAAAAACAAATATAAAAAAGGCTTTCAAAAAGGATTCTTTAAAACCAACCAACATTCTGAAGAATACTGTATCTGTTATCTGAAGAATACATGATTTTTCAAATGAGTTTTAAATGAATGGTTTGTAAGGACGAATAATGATATCACTTACAAATTGCTTGAATAACGAGGGTTGTTCTAGAAATTCTAAACGTGTGCTTCATGCCAATGAAAATTATTAAACATACCAACAATGTTCTTGCCATATTTGATAAGAAGTGCTTCAGAGGTCACTCCAAACAACCCAATCGACTTTGAGGCCTTGAGGAAAAGCAGAAAGAACTTGAGGGTATTTTCTGTTTATACTCGTCTAAACCAATCAGACAGCAGGCAGGCATCCGGTATAAAAACTGATATAGTGGTGGCAATGAAAATTCACCAAGCCCTTACTAACCTAGGACAGCAACCTTTAGCCTTTTTTTGCAAGCTATCCTGCGAAGGTAATTTTTCAGGACGCTGAAAAGCTATTGTTAATATTTTTCAGTGCCTTGATCCTTTTTCTGATGTGATCACACCTCGCAATTAATACGCCTGGAATAAGATACACCCGGCGACACTCCTTACACCAAGTAAAAGAATCTTAGTTAGGTAGCCTGTGACCTTCAACACTGAGCCATTTCTCACACTGGAGGCAGAAAGCTCCGTTCGTTTCGGATGTTGAATAGTGAACAATTTTTTTTTGCGGTACAGAATTTGAAAATGGCTTTGAAAAAAGCAAACATTTTACAACATACTAAAAGCTTTTTCGTCTGACACTCCTCAGAGCATAAAACGTCAGAATAGGTTCCGAAAAAACACGTTTGAAAAATATATACCCAGTTGTGGATCGAAATAGGCCAATCAGAAAAACGCAAGCACAAGACCGGTATAGTTGACCAATCAGTGCCGCGAGCCTAAAGAAAAATTACCAATGGAGTCCAAGAGAGAAAACGAACTCCTTTTGTCTACACAATGGCGGCTTTTTCGTTTTTATGTAGATTGACTCCAAAACTGCTAGATGGAAGGACGACCGGGCTCTGCCAATTATCCGAAACATGTCGTCATTATAGAGTTTTGCACAATCTGGGTTGTCTAAAAGATGTTGACCAATGGCAGAATCACTTGTTTTAACAGTGTTTCTAGACCTACAAGATCGAGGAGGCTGTTCTCTTTGAGGGGCAGTTTTGTTCACATTTGTTCAAAAATTGTTCACATTTTTCAAGCAGAGGTACACTAAACAGGAGATTGAGGATCTCAACCAACTGGTGAAGTTAAGAGGTAAGCTGAGGACGGCCAGGTTCTCTTTATCATTTCTCAATTTATGTTTGACTAACCGAGTTGTGCCAAAATTTATCACCGCTCGTATTTCCAAGTCTGGTGTTAGACAAAGTCCAACCATTGAGCGCGCTTTTCTCCAAGATGAGATTCAGAAAAGAAAAACCAATGTTCTGAACTTAAAATGCCTGTATACACGCCAATGGTCTAAAACGCGTCCATTTCTTTCATTCCTTGACAATTTTCGACTTTGCCGCTACATTTCTGAAATTGACCAGCGGACACTAAAACATACCACGGAAAAACACAATAGGAATATTGGCATGCTAGTAAGGAAACGTTTCGGTGGAATGTTGAGCGACACCAAAAAACATATTTTCAATTTCTCGGATTATTCTCTCTCTGATACTGAAACATTTGTCTTAGGTAATGTACTTGAATTTTGTATCCCACCCCAAACAATCAACAGAGAGGAACTCTTTGCTGAATTCGAAATTTTACACGCTCAACTTGCCAAGCACGAGATTTCTAACCCTTTGGAGTTTAACAAATTACGAGCACGACTAAGCGATTTGGCATATGCGTATAGTGGCTCTCCCATCGACCACTCTGATTTTCTTTTGCATAGAGAACATTTCCAAGCACTAAAATCTCTAAGGGCTAACAATGACATCTTTATTACAAAACCTGATAAAGGGTCTGGAGTGGTAATTTTAAACAAAAAGGACTACATCAATAAAATGGAGGTAATTCTCCACGACAAAGAAAAATTTGCTAAATTGGGTGATGTCGAAACACATGACAAAACGGCCAAACTAGAGCGGAAACTCCAAAAACGTTTGTTGGAACTGGTCAACTCAAAAATGTTGGCTACAGAAATTTATGATAGGATAAGACCCACGGGCTCTCAACGACCACAAATGTATGGCCTCCCTAAAATACACAAGCCGAACGTCCCACTTAGACCTATCTTGTCTATGATTGGTTCAGCACAACACGAACTGGCTAAGTGGCTTTCTGAAGTTTTGGACCCTGTTCTTCAAAAATATTCAAAACATTGCATCAAGGATTCTTTTACGTTCGCTGAGTTCATGCAAAACTTGAACATCGAAAACGAAACATCTTTTATGTGTTCTTTTGACATTAGTAGTCTTTTCACAAATGTTCCTTTGAGTGAGACCATCAAAATATGTGCCGATGCTTTGTACCGGAGCGAGCTTAATAGTCCACCATTCCCAGAGGAAGTATTCATTGAAATGATGGAAACTGCAACACGTTCAGTTGAATTCAGTTTTAACAATGAAATGTACCAACAAAAGGATGGTGTCGCTATGGGTAGCCCTCTGGGACCTGCCTTGGCCAATATCTTTGTTGGCTTTCACGAAGAGCGTTTGTTCGACTACGACCAAAAGCCAGGTGTCTATTTTCGGTGTGTGGATGACACATATACCATTTTCAAAACAGAAGCTGAGTGTGATTTTTTTCTAAAACACCTAAATAGCCTACACCCAGCCCTCCAGTTTACGTTTGAAAAGGAAGAAAATGATTCCTTGCCATTTTTAGATGTTTTGGTCGAAAAGTCTAACACTGGATTTCTTACCAATGTATATCGCAAGCCTACTTTTACCGGTCAGTACATACGCTGGAATTCATTTTGCCCAAAACAACGCAAAGTCAACCTTGTCAAAACATTAGTACATAGGGCACTTATGATCTGCTCGAAATCTAAACTGCACGCTGAACTGGAAAAACTCAAAACGATCTTCTTGGACAACGGCTATCCTGAAGACGTCATTTTATCTTATACTAAGGAGAAGATCGCAAGTTTTTCGGCTGTTCAAAAGTTTGGTCCGCAAAAGTGCCCAGTTTATTTGAAACTACCATGGATTGGTAACACTTCCTTGCGATTCGAGAGTCAGATTAGGCAAGCCATAACCAATTGTTTCTTTGCTGTCAATCCTCGGATTGTTTACAGCATTAGGAGAGCCCTTCCATCCATTCAAAAGGATTGCGTTCCTACCAAACAAAAAAGTTCCGTCATTTATGAATTTACGTGCCAGTGTGATTCTGGCTACGTAGGACGCACAACCCAAAGATTGGGGGATAGGATAAAACAGCATGTTCCTTCCAACATACGAAACAAAACTGCCCCTCAAAGAGAACAGCCTCCTCGATCTTGTAGGTCTAGAAACACTGTTAAAACAAGTGATTCTGCCATTGGTCAACATCTTTTAGACAACCCAGATTGTGCAAAACTCTATAATGACGACATGTTTCGGATAATTGGCAGAGCCCGGTCGTCCTTCCATCTAGCAGTTTTGGAGTCAATCTATATAAAAACGAATAAGCCGCCATTGTGTAGACAAAAGGAGTTCGTTTTCTCTCTTGGACTCCATTGGTAATTTTTCTTTAGGCTCGCGGCACTGATTGGTCAAGTATACCGGTCTTGTGCTTGCATTTTTCTGATTGGCCTATTTCGATCCACAACTGGGTATATATTTTTCCATCGTGTTTTTTCGGAACCTATTTTGACGTTTTATGCTCTGAGGAGTGTCAGACGAAAAAGCTTTTATTATGTTGTAAAATGTTTGCTTTTTTCAAAGCCATGTTGAATAGTGGTCGGTTTTGCGTTAAGCAGATGAAAATTTAGAAAAATGTCCCTCCACGGCTTCAAAACAGTTTCGGTTAAGAATAAAATACCGTAAAAGCTGTAGTATTAATTATTTTTGTGGTTCCAGAGGGGGCTTTGTAGAAAACAGCCAGATACAACAATGTTTCGTGCTTGAGTATATAAAAACGGCTATTGCTGGCAGCTTTTAAAGTCTAATAAAATGATCAGAGCAAGAGCAATGGAAAGGTCTTTTCCACTACCGAACATAAAGAACAATGGAGATTTTGAAAAGATACGATCCACAGCAAGGGACCGCAAAGAATGGAGAAGATTATCAGAAGTAGTGTGCAGAGCTGCAGAAGCAGAAACAACATGAAACCTTCATGTCAGGACTGCGCATATGCAATTATATATATATAAAATGATCACATATCATGTTTCGATGAGCACTTAACTCAATGGTCATTTCCTTATCTTCATTAGATTACGATCCTAACGATTCAAATATAAAAGCACATATTAAGATACAAAAACCTACATGAAAACATATAATCTTTAGCTGGCTTCCTCGGCCAATGATGACTTCACATTATTTGAATTCATATCTTATGTCGTACTTACCCAGTCTGCATACTCCGCTAGCTGTGGATGCACTTGACCTTTCAACTCGGGTCCAACTGTCAACCCTGCCAGTCTAAGAAAATCAAATTTTAGTTTTGGCTTCATATCTGCAGGGATGCTTCAAATGTGCATGGTATCAGAAATATCAAGAAAGAAAAAGACACGGCTGCTTACCTTCTGGAACGCTTGATGCCTTCATCCATAATCAACCGGAAATTTCCAATGGGATTCTGTAACTTCTTCTGCAATGCTCGTAAATACTTTCCAGCATTCTGACGAGAACAAATCACGAGAAACTCAAGGAAACGTTGAACAGAAGCATTCATGAAAATTCAATCTAGCAAGGCTGTTATTTATAAGCCAAAATAAAAGTATTCGTAACACAATTTGGCGTTACTTGAGACAAAATTTGTGTTATAAATTTTCATTCTTACCTGAAGTCCCGTCAACGAGATGAAAAGTCGTAAAATGTCGTTGGTTCCTTCAAAAATCCTAAATATTCTCAAGTCTCTCATTACACGCTCGGCACCACAATCCTAAAGTAAAAATTACATACTTTAGAACTGGCTTTTAACGGTGGCTTATTGAAAACACAGAAACGATTAAAGCTACTGATATTTACTGTGATGAATTACCAAATCGATCGTTTGATACTATTTAAGACTGAAACTGCTCACCTTCATGTAACCCATTCCTCCTAGAATCTGGAAAAAAATATCTGAAAAGTGAGCAACATAAAAATTTTAACAATCTAGCAATGGAATTAACATGAAACTGACTGAAATTAGTAAATGATAAAATAACAAAATCTAAGAAGTATGTGAAAGGCAAGCAATATCATGAAAAGGGTAACATACTTGTATGCTTTCGTCAGCAACTTCCCACGCAGCTTCCTAGAAATATTTGAAGTTTGTGTAAGGGTCAGAAAAACCGATGGGTATTTTGACATTCTTTTAGATTATTAATATTCAGCAACCACTTCACAATCTTTTTTGCTTTCAAGGACCATGTTGTGAACAACAATTAGGGTGCAGGCTAGAAGATTTCTTGCAGGTTCCAACGTTAGCGCAAGAAAAATGTTTGCATCATTTATTCAAGGCAGAGATGCGGCTGAAGTCTTTTTCATTCACAGCAAACGAGCTCAAGACATCGAAACTTACCGATGCATACACTTTGCTGATGGCTGCCTCAATTTGAAACTCCTTGATACCCATATCCATATTTGCACTGACCATGTATGCCATTGACTAGAGAAACAGCAAACGAAGTTACAAAAACAATAACCACGAGTCCTGTAATTTTCTCATATCGTAACTAGACTTCGAGCACAGATCCTTTCAGCACTTACATCATGCCAGCACCTCAACCTAACGCAAGTTCACGGATGAATAAAAAATGAAAACTTTTGCAAACAAGTAGGACAGTGTATACCTGTGCCGAGGACATTCATTAAAACCATGTCACCTTTTAAAAGATAATACTTGCTGGCCCCATGCTTCAACCGAAACTTCGAATCGTTAGATCATTGTTCGTGATTTGTATACATGATTCCATGTGTTTGCGTCTAATGATCAATAACTTGAGTTACCTCAAAACTGCAACAAATTCATTCAGCTTTCAACAATTTTTATTCACAATTTGGAACTCTGAGAAACAGTATTAGCATGCAGTAAATTTCATAGCACTGAAGATTCAAGTGCAGCTTTCGTAGCCGTTCTTAAAAACAGTGACAGCGTACCTCAGTAACATACTGCAGAATAGCCATTCGAGCCAACTTCTCTTGAATGACTCCAAATTCGCTGATTTTTGACCCGAATTGGGTTCGGTTGGCTGCATGATCAACCTTAAATGTAGAAAATTAATATCGTATTGAGATGACGGCAATATTTAACTCTCTCAACTTGGACGATTTGAGAAGAATGACTTGGAACGAGGACGGTTTGAAACTTCTTAAACGAGTTGAGAAGTTTTGAAATTTGGCGCAATAATATAAAGTTCGCGCAAAATTGAAGAAGTGGGACTACTCACCGCTTTTGTTATTAAACCCTTCATTGTACCAGAAAGGGCTGCAGCCATTCCAAATCTGCCATTATTGAGAATATTCATGGCAACTTTAAAACCCTCTCCAACACCTGTTCAAGAAATTCACAAATTACAAATTTAAGATGCAAGAGCGAAAACATTCAAATCAATAATGTCGATATCATTCAGAAATCATCATCACGCTACTTGAACATTGAAAACAACCAACTAGAGTTCCTTGCTGTACCAAAGTCAAGAGCGAATTTTTGATCCTGAGGCAAAAAATCCACCAAACAATGATCTATGGATCGTAATCTTCCTTCCGTGCCATTCATCGACCATTTGAGATCTGAACGCAAATTTCCTTTAAATTGTATCCGACGTGTAAAATAACTGTGGTATGACTGGAAAACTTTTATTTCCATTTTTTCCTCGAGCAGTTTTAAAATTCACAAATGACAAAATATTCAACGAGACCAGTTCTGCATGCAAGGCGCGCGCCCAAGACAAAATCTGTGCATCGGAGAGGGTTTTAAGGTAAACAATCGACGAGTTTCTTCTAAAAGAAAGCTTGCTTCTTACTTTATCTATCCTATGTTCCCTATGACATCACCACAATCAGATGTCGATATCGCAATCGCAATCACAGTGAAAATATCGCAAATGAGAAAATCGTTCTTCTCAAATCTAACATTTTAACTTATCAACTTATTAAATTAAGTCCAACAATGTTTCACGAAACAACAAGAAAGAAACATTTAGATAAAACAGTATAACAAGATAGGACATCAAAAACACTTTACCTCCTAAAATATTTTCAACAGGAACTTTCACTTCATCAAACGTGACCTAAGTAGACAGGAAAACGCCAGCGTAAAAAGGGTTAAGAAAAGTTCACAAAAGCCTCAAAACTATTGTTGTAGGAAAATGCTTTCGTTGAGCTTCTTTACTAATAAAAACAGAGGAATCTATCAAAAGGCCTCTACCTGGTATATTTAAACATAGTTAGATATTGTACTGTGTGCCGTTGCAAATTCTCCAATTTCAACTAATTGGTCTAAAACCAGGTACAGATTCCATTCTGAGTGAATACAGATATTGCATTTCATTCATTGTTTTTTTTGCTTATTTGATTCCTTTTCAAGGTATTTTGACAAAAATTTTTTATTGCGAACAAAGGCCACAGAGTTTCATTTTTAACATCTTCTGTTGGTGATGTAGCTCGTGATTTCATCAATGAAAAGATGTGCCGTGAATAAAAAAAGGTTGACAAACAAAGAAAAAATGTCGAACTTTCTGATAGGCCTTCGCAAAATGCACTCACCTCTGCTGTGTTGGAAGCTTTGATTCCCATCTTTTTTTCAGGTGGGCCACTATAATAAAATTTTCATAATTAGTGTGCTAAGATGCCATGCGATGGAGTAGGATTCCAACACAGACAGAACATTGTTTTATAGCTCGAGCATAACCTTCAAGAAACACATTGTTTTTTGGTCTTCTACAGAGTCTTAAGATTTGCAGTTTTCCTCTGGTGTCCTGCAGATACTTAAAAGTTCTTTCTGTAACAAATCTAACAGGCCTTAGAATATTCCAATTACAGACAGACTCAAGGAACACAGGTTACAAGTCTTGGTTCCTTTGGCCGTTATGCATCCTTTTGGACGTTACGTAACTAATAATTCAGCAAAATTTAATGTGTTCAGCAGCAGTAGCTTGAAAGTGCTGATTAACGTATGCAGACCTTGGAGGAGTTCATCAAAAACTGATAAATCACTTATTTTTTATCAAAAGAGCACCCTACAAAATATACCTCGTTACACCACCGAAACCTCTCTCCACGATAAATGCTGTAACCTTATCTTTTGTCTTGCCACTTTTTTCGTCAAAAACAGGTGTCTAAATGGAAAAACACTTTATTCAAAATTGGAAATCAAGGGAAACCGGGACACGAAAGTAAATGTGCATGCGAAGAGGGCTCGCTGCCAATCATAAATTAAAACGTTGTTCACTTAAGACAAATGGGTACAAAAGTCAACAAGCCCGCCGAAATTCTTATCTCAAGAGACAAAGGGAAGGAGCAAGCCACGTTTTGCAACCTTCATGCAGCTAAAATAACAAGTGATCTTTTTGCAGACCAGATACCTGGAAAAAACTTAGAAGAGCCGTATGTCACAGGTAAAAATCGCATCACATGTTTACAGTACCAAATGTCAAAGATAAGAAAATAAATAAGCTATGCTATTGAATTGAATCAAACATTTGTGTAATTCATCCTATGTTTGCGATAGGCTGCAATTTTAATGAGATTCATTTTATCATTTTAAAACGATAATAAGTTTATAAACATCTTATTTTGTTGCTTATTACATGAAAAGGTTTTACACATTAGCCCTCGTTCGAATACCTTTTTAAGGAGACGTTATTCAACTTAGACGCAAAATTAAATGACCCTCAAACATTACCTTCCACACATGGCTCGACCAACGCTTAACCAGATGCAAAAATCACCATCGTTTAGAGTGGTTTTAGTCAGCTTAACATGCATTTTAAAACCAAAACCAAGGTATGCGTAGCTCGATTCAAACAAAAACAAATGAAAGTTGTATGTTTACAGCAATTTCTTGCTTTACATCAAATTCTTGCTTTGCATCAATTTTCTTGTTCAAATGAGAAGAGATTCGATCATACCTGGGCAAACACTGTAAAAACATCCGCAATACCGCCATTGCTAATCCTAAAATTAACAATACAGATCAGTTGATTTCCATTGCTGTTTATAAAAAACTGATTCAAGGTTGCAGGGGGCATTAGCTACTACTCTTAGAGGAAGGGGACATTTAAGGGCCAGAACACACTTAATTCGATGGGAAAAATTGCAAAGATAAAAAAGATAATATTTCAATATAAACAAACCATAATTTGCCACCATTAAGAATCCAATGCTTCCCATCTTCACTCAGTTTTGCATTCGTCCTTATTGACTAAAAGATATGATGGCAGCGTTGTTAGTAAAAAATAAGACAGAAGGGTCTTATACAACTATAAGATACCAATCGAGAGAGAAAGACCTTGACGTTTCAATATGGAAATGAAATATTAAAAAAGGGCAAAGTTCTGCAAAGAAAATTGGCAACCGCAAAAAAATTGGCAACTGCAAAAAAATCGGCAACTGCAAAACACATTGAAACTGTATGGGGCATTGGCCTGAAAGGTGGCACGAACTGGCACAAAGATGACACAAACTTCTTGAAACAAAGATGCAAATTTTTTAACCTACATTCACAAATGTATGGAAAATGTATGGAAGTTTTCAAAATGTATGGAAAGAATTGTTTTTTGTTTCTAATGGTTGGACGTAAAAAGATAGTAAAGATTGCCAAAGACCTTCAACATTTCTTTCCACAACGTTTTTTGAAGAGAAAACGTTTCAGTCCATGTTTGCCTACATACCTTTTCATAATTATAATTTACAATCCTTATTTTCTTTTGCATGCTTCAAATGGGAGCATTTTAGACCATTTAGGTAAATACTCGAAGCATATGTTATTGGGAAAAAAAATTATAGAGAACTATGGATAATTTGTGTTTTCCTTTGAAAGAAAGGTGAATAAAGCCTCTAAAAGCTGCTCAAAACAAAGAACAGCAAGGAAGCAATTTGTTACGAGTCCTTGCTCGAAATTGTTGTGTCGGCAGAAACGATGAAAAATTTCCACTTATGTGCTTAACATTTTAGAAATGAAAAAAGCAAACATTTTAGAACATTTTCGTCTGACACTCTTCAGAGTACAAAACGTCAGAACATGGTTAAAAACACTAAGCTAGGAAGTATATATAACCAGTTGTGGATCGAAATAGGCCAAGCAGAAACGTGAGCACACGATCGTTGTGCTGTTAAGTTGCTATTATGTTCCGTCACAAGTTAAAAGTTAACTTGGTCAAAAAATTGAATTGAAAGGAAATATTGAAAAATTGCTTACGGCAGCATCTGAGCCACTTGAAGGCTCGGTCAGGCAGAAGGCAGCAATTTGTTCACCAGTTGCTAGCTAAATTGAATACAGAAGTCTCAATGCATTAAACCATCAGAAGACACAAACAAAGAAAATGCATTCCATGTGCACTAGCAAAAAAAGGTTTTATTGTAAAACAGGAGACTATTGAACAAATTAGAAAGCAGTACGAAAACTTAGAAAAGAGTAAAATAAGGAACACCAAAACTGTGGGCAAAAACAAACGTATCAAATATATTGTGCTGTATTTTAAGAAGTTGAAAATTCAATGCACTAGATAGAACTGCCAGATATTTTCATCGAGTAAAGATTCCAAATCGATTTGAAAAAAATTACAGATATAAGCTTTTCGTCTAACACTCTTCAGAGTTTAAAACGAGTTATTCTAAAGTTTCATGCTGTGACGAGAGTTTCAGACAAAAAGCTTCAAATATGCCTTTGAACTTCTGCCTTTTTAAAGCAATTTATAAATTTTTAACCACCGAAAACTGTTAGGAAGTTACCTTTGGAAGGTATTTCTTCTTCTGTTCTTCATTTCCAAATAAGAGAATTCCTTTGAAACCGATGGACTGTTAATACAGATAATGAAATACATTTAAAAATTGAGTTGTTCAAAACGGGTTATCGTATAGAAAATGTTTTACTTTGTTATTTTCAAATGTTTATGTAACAGATGTTCAGCTTTACGTTACACTGGACAACTGCTTAAGGTATTAAGTCCTGTTCATGTTACAAAAAATTTAACATTGGTTGGCCACGGGACTCAGTTGACCAAAGGTTAGATGACTGCACTGTGAGCACAACTAGCCTTGGTTGGCCCCCAGGTTAATCTAGCCCTTATCAGCTTAGTTTGACCATGCTTTGGCGGTCGGGGCATCCTTGGGTGGCTCCAGGTTACCGTTACTGAATTTTAGCTTGACTACAAACATGTGGCCAACATGATGCAATAGGAAGGATAACAAGTTAAATTGAGCACCACCATAATTACTTTCTGTGTAAAAACTGTTTGAGAGTGGTCATAATTTACTTGGATCATTGTACGCTGGTTTTTGGTCGTGTTGGATAATATTTAGCCATGTGTGCAGTTCAACGTTAATATCTCTGCTACATAGCTAAATACAGTGCAAATTTAAAATTAAAGGGGAAGACAGAAAGGGGGGGGGGGGGGGGGGGTTGCTTCACAACAAATGCATGCTATTGCGCACACGTTTAGGGGTTTGTCTCAACAGCACTGTCCCCAAGGTTGTAGGTTCGTATCAAGCTTATTTCCCTTGTAAAAGAAATTTAGTTTGCCTTTTTAAATTTCATGTAAAAGACCAACAAGCTGCGTGAAAAGCCCAAAAAAACCCTTGAAAGGGGAAGAAATATAGTTAACTTTATCCAAAATGTTGTCAAAAAATTAATCGTCGAACGAGTAAACCACGCCCCTTACTTGATGAGCTCCTAATGTTATTCCAACAGCTAGGTCATGGCCACCAACAATTTCCACAAGCCGAGCATACTTGAAGAAAAAACAAGTTGCAATTAATTAATCTATTCTCATAAGTTAGAAAATTCAAAAGATGAGAAAGGCAATTTTGAGCCAAAACCGTTTTGAAAGCACTAGTCTCAACTAAAACCAAAACAAACTCTGATTGAGTAGCTGAATGAAAAATATAACATGAATTAAACAGGTTAGCTAAATGAAAAATGAGCTAAATTCTTAGAAATCAATGTACACAATTCATAGCCGATGTATCTGTAAAATTGATGATCTGACTGGAACAAATACGATATTGATTGAAACTGTGTCTGGCCAATTACCTGTGTATTTGTCAAGCCAACTCCATCTAACTCCTGTGGAACCTGCAACAGAATAGCAGCAGCAATGTCAATATGAGTAGTTCAAAAGAAAAAAGGTTCAACTTAATCTTTCAATTTGATCGCAGTTAAATAGATATCGAGAAAACGGAAAAAGGCTAATCAATTTTTAAATGCAAAGTGTGGCAGCTCTGAGACATAACATGATGCAAAGAAAAGTGAAGAAGAAAAAAAATTAAATTGATGATTTACTTAAAAAGTAAAAAAATTCAGACTTTGCTGGAAAATAAAAAAAAGTCAAAAAAGAGTTCAACTATCGAAAAAACATTAAAATAAATAGAACAGGATCAATGACTATATTTTGCCTACAATGAAATGCAAAGAAACACTATGAAATCAAATTTAAAGAAATCACAGGAAAAGCGAATGCTTTTTGAAGATAACAGAATTTGCTACCTTAGAAAATGTCCTCCGGGATAAGGGGCCACTTAGTTTGCTACAAGACAAAGGATTAGCATAGATCCTTATGGTTGCATCCAACTAACAGAAGGTAAAGACAATATCCAATGACTACATCAAAAGCAACAGGCTACCTGAAGACCGAATGCACCAAGTTCTTTAAGTCCTTGCATTGTAACATCATCAACTTTTTCAATTTCATCATTTTTCAATGCATCATTGGATTCCTAGAAAAGAATATATCATGTGGTAAAATAAGAGTAAAGGTTTAAGTATGATGCACATACTATTTTTGGGGCCCTTTATGTGAGCTCCAGACACATCAAGTTTCATGTTTATTTCAAAACATTTGCATAGAAAAAGAATATCATCATGGATTAAATGAACAAAAAGAAAATCATTCTCCATAACATGAAATCAAAATCAAAATAGAAATCAAAACTTTTAAAGGTAAAAATGCTGCAAAATACTAGAAAAAGAAGAAAATCATTTACCTGGAAAAATTTCTCAACTGGATCAACCAATGATTGTATGAATTCTGCCTGCTCACTTGTAAGTGCTATTCATAAAGAAGAAATGTCTGTTGCAGAATTTTATCTTAGAAATAAATATTTTTGGTATATTAGAAAATAGTTTGATGGGAATAATTGCAAAAGATACCTTGTGGGCTAGATAGGATACAGAATAGAATGCAACTTAAAAGACCAGGTATAATAACTTGTTTAAAGAGCAAAGTTGAAAATGTCTGGGCCTATAGCATTTGAGAAATTGCATTGCACTATTGCTGATAAAAGTCTAGTGAACTATACAAAAAATACTGCAATTTAAGATTGCTGTTATGTTTATGGACCTTGGGAGTTTATGGATTTTTCAAATAAATTGGCATAGAAAAACAATATTACGAACAAACAGAAATTTGCATGCGAAAATTAGAAAACAGAAATATTACAGCTAAAAGAAAGCTAAAAAGAATTCTAGCTTAAACAGACTTTTTGAACAAGTTGTTAATAACTAGCATACCATTTGGATATGGAAAAATACTTTTTGTGTCAGCAGAACCTTTGAAAATACCCATAGCAAATGACTTCACTTCCTATAGAGCAGGAAAAATAATGTATTGAAAGTAAATGTTGAATTAGGTTTCTAATTTAACAAGGTAATCAGAAAGACACAAACAATAACAAATTCCGTTAAGTAGGGTCTCATAAAAATTTTTCCAGCAAAGTAGCCTCACAACCAAAATTTTGAGCACAGCTAGTTAAATAGAAGAATCATTGTTCGGCAAATGCAATCTGTTTATAGGTTTTGATCCAATAGGTTTTGGTACTTTAGACACGGACAGTTTCCATGAGATATCAATCATAACTGTAATTTACTCAATGTAAAGTTGCAACTAGGATAACTGATAAAAGCATTTGACAAATTTTTAAAACATGTCCTTTTGTGTAAAACCTGTCAGATACCTGACAGGAAACAACTTGCAGATTACAGAGTGTAACATAAACTTAGCATGTTATATAAGAATTATGTTAAAAAGCAAAAAACCCAGATGCACTACCACTTGAAAAATGATTAAATTGTGACAATGTGATCCCTACTTGTCTTCTAACAACAGGTGTTGGCAACTGTCTTGTTGGCAGTCAAATACATCCATCAAAATTCGTTTTTCTGGATTTGTCAACTTTTCCCTAATCTTTCAAAGGTTTATTCAACAAATGTGTTACAATTAGGGCTGTCCAAACCTTCAGATATTCCTATTCGGTTATTCGGCTTAAAATTTAATGAATATTCGGTTAATCTGCGAATATGGGTGTGGCAAAATGGGTGTGGCAGGGTGGTGGTAAAAAAACTGCAATAAGCTGTGAATATAGCTAATCAGTCATTACTGTTAGATAAATCAGAACAATTAATTTTTTGTTTTCCTATTGACATTTCCTGTGTTTTACGTAACTTCAAAGGGTGTGCTGCAAAGCAATTTTAGAAACGATTTTTTGTCAAAAATAAATGTTTTCTCGAACTTTCCCTAGCATTAGTCGCCCCTAATGGCCAGAGAGTCAGTATCAAATTAACGAGAAACCATAGTCGTACATTTTGAAAAAGGGTCGTTTTCAAACATTTTGTGAAATGAAAAGCTTTCTAGCACGGGCTTCGACACAGCTTGCGAAGTGGAGGAAAGGGGGAGGGGGGCAAGAGAAAATTTAACACTCACAACAAAAGATTTTGTGAAAAGTTATATTATTCTCCAAAATGGTGGTAGGGCCATAGCCCCCCGGCCACCCTTCGACCAGTCAATGCTATTCGATCAGTCACGTTTATTCGAATGGTGAACGCTATTCGATCAGTCACGGTTATTCGAATAGTCACAGCTATTCGATGAGTCAAGGCTATTCAAACAACCATTGTGGACCTCCAACAGTGAGGTTATTCACACTATTCGTCTCCAACCGAATAATCGTACTATTCGAACTATTCATTTGTAACCGAATAATCGTACTATTCGAACTATTCCTTTGTAACCGAATATTCGCTTTGGGCTTCAGCAAACCGAATAGTGAGACAGGTAACCGAATACAGATTATTCGACCTTCGGTGGACAGGCCTAGTTACAATTGAATTTCCTTTCACTCTTTGCCCAAGTTGAAAAAGCTTTCCTTAATTTTAGGAAGATAATTCAATTTAATTTTGATACCAGTGAGCCTAGGTTCATGATATTTTGGACCCAATTTTCTAGACGCAACAATTAAGGTAAATAGGCCCTTCTTTATAGGGTCATTTGCTTTAGCTTTAGTTTCATGTGAAACCAGCATCCATTGTTGAGAACTTGCAGTTGACAGAAGTTGTTGTGTAAATCAGAACAAGGTGAGTTCATGGGATCAGTATCAGGCCCACCAATAGCGCTGCAGCACAAAACTATTACACCACATATAAGGGTAAACCCTTTCCTTTTATAATAATTCCATGCCATTAAGTAGTCCAAAGGTGATATAATCAGGTTTTTCAAAAATATAAAGACATACATTTTGTGGAACAGAAGAAGAAGCATATCTCTTTGATGCCAACTTGTCCAAAACCCTAAAGAAGTGTAAAAACAACATTTCAATTATTTCATATATATTAACCAAAAGATGGAGGTTTCTTCAAAACTTTGACTGTCCTATCAGGCTGAAGCCTTAGATTAGAAGTTTTATCAGATAAGATTAGAGATCTATTCTTAAAAAAAATTAAAATTTTCCTGACAATGAGAAATTTTGCAGGAAAAATCGGCATTACTTTTTAAAATAATTATTATAATAATTCCTCATGAGGAAAACTCCAACATTTTTCCAGAGGCAAACCTGTGATTCATTTTGTTTCTTAATTTGCAACCTAATATCCAAAACCTGGCTATGCCACTGACTCTCCATTAGGTGATTGGGGTTAAAAACCCACAAATACCTTGCAGGAATTTTGGTTCAGACCTTTTCAAAGAAATAAAAATGTTTGCATGTTGTAAAGATTTCTAAGATGCTGCTGCTTTTCCGAACCTGGCACCTTAGACACTGGTGCTTAGATGTTTGCATCCCTAATCCCGATATTAATCTACCTTAATCCTCCTTGATCAATCTATCTTATATACAATCATGTAATGTCTGTTTCTTTATTTAGTTTGCAATTTTGTAAGCATTGTTGTATTTAATTTTAGCATCGTATTCTATTTAAATGTATTGTAGTTTTGTAGAATTGAAGTAGGATGGATTGATAATTATACGAAACTTGAAAATTATATGAAGGCTTGAATTATATGAAAATTATATGAAAATTAAAGGGGCTTGGCAAAGAGAGGGAAAATAAACCTTTGGTGAAACTATCTACTCAAAAGGAAAATTTATAGGCAATACTTAGCTATATAGATAAAGTGGAAATAATGAACATGAAAAGATGAGACAGTCTAGAATATATTTTTGTGAAAAAGGTTTTTGGTACAACATTTTGCAATTATAAATAACGATTTCTTGGAGTCTAATGAACAAACATCATCATAAGCATTTGATTTCATTTGATATCACCTTCCAGAAATGTACCTTATAGCACGGTTATATAGCATCTGCAAACATTAAGGATACTTTCAGCATGGTTGATTATTATTATCATCACATTTAGAGCAATGGCTCGCAAAAGAGAAATCATGTGGGTGCTGAGCCACTGGTGTGGGCTATTTCCTAAGAGAAGGCCTGTATTGCTTATAACAGTTCATTGGAGAAATCACAAAGAAAAGTGGTACATTGCTGTGTTTTGGAAGAAACAATTTTAAATTTTATTTTTAATACCACTATGGTTATTTAGAGTAGTAGCAAGTCCACATCAGTTTCAGCTGACACAAAGATTTTAACCTACTTAATAACAGCCTTCCACCATGGTGAATGCACACTCAAAATGCAGACATGGTAGTGCTGCAGGTGCACTTAAAAACATTTGATTTAAATTAAGAAAATTTACAAACCTGGAGTAGGGGGCTGTTTTCAACCCAATACCTTGTCAAATGTAAACTAGTCAGTGGTCACCACCCTCTAAATTTTAAGTCATTAAATTGTGGATTGGCACGAGTCAACAACTCAAAAACGTTTTGGATGGAAAAGTGGCGGGAACCTAATATTGCGAGTAATGATTATATAACTCTGCATCTGTCAAGGCGCAGTTTAACTCAGTTGTAAGGCAACGGAGTAAGGATACTGTTGCGTTGGCAGCAAGTTAAACAGTATTATAACTTATCTATTGGAGATTGTGACCTGTAATTAAGTAATTAAGTTAAAATACATGATAATTGTCTCAAATACTGATGACATTATTTGTCATGGGCGAACATTTGTGACTGCAAAACCTAAATTTAAATACCTTATTGAAATCCTGTTGGTTTTGCATGAAGCATTGAAACTTTTGTAACATCCTCCAAGTAGCTGGCAGCATTTTGCACGTTGCATGATGGTTCAGTGGTGCGGCAGCCTGACTTTCCACTCTTATCCCTTCCTTCTAGGTTTATTTGAGATGGGGTGAAAGTCCATCATTTCATTTGACATCACAGAAAACAGTAGCGAGGCTGTGGAAAATTGGACAGGAGGTTGTTGGATTTCCTCTAAAAAGCGCCCGGAGCGCTTTACAAATTTAGCCTTTCCTAATTAGGCAGGGCTATGGCTGTGAAAATCTAATTTCTCACCTAACCGAGATGATCTCAATGGTTTTATATACTTTCGAGTATGGAGATTCAGAATCCAAGATGGGACCAAACAATTTTTGCCTTAGTATCAGGTGATTGATGACAGATTTTGATAATACATACAAATGCGAACTGGGAAAATTCATTTTTGACATTAATTCATCAAGACATCAAGTAATTAATTTTTCTTTGCTGAAAATTTCATGTAAAATATACTTTTTAAATCTTTTAATCGTTTATGTTAAGCACTACTGTATTACTTGTAATTATTTAAAATATACTGATAATGAAATGTTGAAGCTCAAAAAGTTGCTATCGTGACCTTTTCCCTATTCACACATTATAGATTTTGACGGGTTTAAGGGGGGGCTGTTTTGAAGGGAGCGCTTATTTGCGGTTGGGCTCTTTCTTATTTCTGCTTTATTTCACTCAGCTAGTTTGTCATAAAGAATTAATGCTTTGCAAGTCCAACGAGGAATCTGCGAGAAATTGGCCTCTTTGTTCCAGGGAAGTGCAAGCTATAACAGGGGTGCCAGGTATTTTGGCGTGATTGCATGATCGGCGTATTTCCGATGCGAGAATTCGTGAAACAAACCTTTATTATGCATGAATAAAAGAAACCTTTATTGTGAATTGGCATTACTCATGGCGTGATGCATGAAAATGATTGATGCAAGCGACTTTTGAATTGGTGTGTCTAATTTTTACGAGCAGATAGTCTTGGTTTCCGGTACCAGATCAGATGAATGGCTCCTGCATCAAGAGATCCTATACCGAGGCCTCGCCAGCAAGAAGCTAGATGCAGAATACTGTAATGATCGGAGATCTCCCAGTAGAAAAGATTTTGTCAAAAAGTTCAAGAAAGTTCCTAATAGATAGCTATTAAATATTAATCAACGGACCAGCAATATCAGACATGCATTGTCCACAACCCTGTACTTTCTGTATTATTTTTGTTCCTCCTCACGCTTTGCACTTTATTTCATCTTTCAGTTTTTGTTTTTTCAATTGATATTAGATTTGATTATTACTAAACATCCGCAAAAAAATTACTATTCTTATCATATCGACATTTTACCATATTTATTATGCTGTTTACTTGTAACTTTAATGTTATGTTTTGAATAATACAATCACGTTTGTTATATAATTATAATATAATAGCATTTTTAGTTGAAGAACATTAAAACATCCTTCTCGGAATCCTAAAAACTTAAATCATTTTCGACCAAATCAAGTAACTTTCGGTTCCAAGAGCCTTAAAGCCATAGGACGTCAGATCTGGAACTGTCTGCGAAATGAACTAAAATCAGCTGACAATCTTAACAGCTTCAAACGTATGATAACACGATGGGATGGTCCTAGCTGTAAATGCAACGTTTGTAAATATAATGATATCAATATCCTGTAATATTTGTCCATTCATATCCAAGTTGCTTCATATATTTAGCTTATGTATGTACGTATTTATTTCCTTAGTTATATCCTCTTCTTTTGTTATGCAGTAGATTCGATTTAGATTAGTTGTATGTGTATATATCCATATATATATATGTATAGCTAGAAAAAATATCGAATTGAAATAAGGTTACAAACAAACAGGGGCGGACTGGCTAGTCGGGCTATTCGGGCGATCGCCCGAAGGGCCGGTCGGTTTAAGGGCCGGCTGAAAAAAGTGCAAGAAAATAAATTAGCTTAAAAAGTGAATGCGAGGCAAAAAACTATAGCCATGCGTTGATCTGTTTGCCTTTAATTTTCAGAGATTTTCAGAGACAGGGATTTTCAGGGAAAGAATAAATATACACGCAAGTACTCAAAAACCATCAAAGTTATGAATTCATTATTGTCACCGCAGCCCAAACACACTTCTTCAGGAAACATGTTATTGACATCTTGCTCTAATTTCTCTTGACGGTATTTCCTGTTTGGCGACATATTATACTGTAACACCCCTGTTCCAATGCGATACATAAGATTTTAACCTGCCCTGATGTCTTTTTACTTAGCTTTTGCTTCAAGCTGGTCATGTTTTTGCCCAAGCACAAGCTATTGCTAAATGTAATAAATTTAAAAGTCCAAAAATTGGAGTTCACTAAGCGATTTGCTCTGTGATGTGAAGCAATGAAGTGGACATACGTAGAACAAAGGAAGAGCAAGAAGACTCCAGCCAAAGGTGGTGCACAGAAATTTCGCGAGGAAAAGCTGCGAGATTTAAAAAAGGATTCAGCTACAATACAAAGCTTTTTTTATCAAGCAAAAGCCACAAACGTCACAAAAAACAGCAGGGTCTTGCTCTTTTCAATAAACTCATATTAGTTATGGTAAGTTTATTAGGCCTATACTATCATAAGTCAAATGCAACCCCCCCCAACAGGGGTATGGTGCTACACGATAAAATTTTAACAGGGGTCCCAATGTTTTCTTTTTGAGGTCAGAAATTGACAGCTTGATATTTTTGGGTTGCTGAAAATCATTGTGGTTTTTCAGAGGATTAGGAAATTAATTGTCACAAGTTGAGTGTGATAGAAGCTTTTCCACCTCAAATATATAAAGAACAGATTACGTAGTAATTTTTCGCAGCCAAACCTGGAGTCCTTCATGTTAATGTTATTAGAAAATACCTGTTAGATGACATCCAGAACGATCACAGTATCAACATATAAGATCCTGTATTTAGAAACGGAGTCAAACAAAAAATTTTTAAATTATACCTTCTAAATAGCTAGAAAAGCATCTCCCAGACCAAGTTTAACAAAATACTATACCGTTCAGGATAGACAAATCGACGTTTCTCAGAAGAACATTGATTATTGTTCTGGGAGAAATTGGGAAAGGGAAGAGTCATGCTTAAACTCTAGTGACAGACGTCGGGGAAAGAAAGAAAGGTGTTTTCTATTCGAGAGCAAGCGATTTTTTCCTGAAATCATATCAGTTAAAAAAAAAGCGATGTATCCAAGAACATATTAGTGCTCAAAACGAAAACTTCCTTAAAAAATAGAGGCTGAGCAAAAATTATTGCATTCTAATAATAAAGGGTGTAGTCATTGCTTCTCTCTATATTACATGCAAAAGGACCTATTTATTGACGTGGTACTTTTACGCAAATTAATTTACCTCTCTCCCTTTTGGTCTTTTGCCCTTGTTCCTAGCTACAGTTAAAAGCAAAACTCAGAATTTCATTTTTTGTGTCTATGCTATTATCATGTCATTAAATGTGCAGTTAAAATTAAGGAGCTATTATGGAGGTCTTGGTACCGCAATTCGACTAATAGAGGTTAAAAAATTCGGAACATTAGGACCTAGGCTTTGAGTTAGGATTTTTATAAAAAGGCGGGTAATGAAAATATATGTAATGTGGGTTTGTGAAAATATGTGTAAACGATTCTTTTCCTACATGTTTTTGAGATTTATTCAAGGGGTGATATTTGGGGCTAATCTCCCACATGGGCATCGTCACTGACACGACACCACTCTGCAAACATAAATAACTGCCATCAACACTAGTCAACTTGCGCTTGACACCATGACATAGTGGCTGAGGTTTGTTGCAAGAACATATAAAAACTTAGTTTGATTCTAACCCAGTTACCAGGGATTCCTTTCTTTAAAAGAAAATGACAATAATTTCTCAAAAAATCGTTTTGCTAAAGATTTTTTTGGGGGGGGGGTCCAGTCCCCCCCCCCATCCCCTCGGGATTTACGGCCCTGCTCTTAGGTTAGCAAATGACATATTTAACATGTTCTGTTAACCAGCATTTACCCATGCACAAAATTATTGAATTTAAAAACTTGTTTTCCTTACAGACTAACATTTACTTGCATTTTCCGAGGAGTTTTTTATTTGCTATTATTGTGGGCCGGTTTGATAAAAATTTGCCCGGGCCAAAAAAATTAGCCAGTCCGCCCCTGCAAACAAACAAACAAACATCACCGACGCGAAGGCTCTTTAGAGTTGTTTTCATATGTCCGTCAGCACTTTTTAATCACCTTTGATGTAACTTTCAACAATCACAATCTACAGTGATTGCATGATTCAGCATGGCTGCCTGGTACCACCTATGACGATGGATGCTAGACACGTTTTACGATGCTAAATGATGAACTGAAAAAACTGAAAAAATAAAGTAATTCTAAATTCATGTATAAAAACATTTAAACTCAACTTATCAGATCGATTTCGATCTTTGCACTGGCAAAAAAGTCACCGTTACGAAAAATGCTGCTTGAGAAAGTTACTAGTCTAAAAATTTCAAAAAGGATAAAAACACTAAAAGAGGATTTTCCGAAAGTCTGAAGGGCGTGAAGAACAACTGACGAAACCGTTATAATAACCTTTAAAGACTGCCCTCTAAAATTGTAACACTTGGATAAAAATAGAAAACCATGCTTTATTAGCTTTACAGGGGTCTTTTTGCCCCCTGCCCCTCTATCTACGAGAGTGGGTGCTTAGAGGCATTACGGTAATTCAAATTTTCCCTCATAAAAAAGGTTCATTTGATGTAGGTGCCATCTGAATTCAAGAAAATCACGGTGGTTATTTACAAGTACCCACATCGTGTTGGGTTTAAGAAAAGCAAAGGTGAAGAGTGGTCGGCTGGAACCTTAATGGTTTTTTACAAGTACCCACATCGTGTTGGTTTTAAGAAAAGCAAAGGTGAAGAGTGGTCGGCTGGAACCCTAGTAAAGTCTTTGCTTTTTGTTAGAATAAGTCAATATAGTGGTGCTGAGAGTTGTTCAGCAATGTCACTGATTTCTTTATGCTTAAACTACCGAATTCTTTGTGCTCGATATCGTGCTAATCAAAAATAATTTATACATTTTTTAATAGCTCATTCAGCAATTCAAAAACAGTGTAGTGCAGTCGCTTAGCAGTTGAATTGTGCATTTTATGATACAAGCACGAAAGCTGGTATAATTACACAATTTACACCCTCCAGACTGGGGTACTTGTACCTAGTCCTCCTTTGGGTCTTCCTCCATATCTTTTAAACTATTCATGTCATAGACCAAAAAATTTGCTTTCTGGCGTAACGTGACATGCTAAATAAGATGAGATGTATACCCTACTTCAAAATGCTTCTAAGTGTAATATATCAGGCCGAGTAAACACAAGAGAGCAGGCACATTCACGCAAGAATCCAACTTGAATCACTATCTAAAATGAGGCTATAACAATAGGACTCAAAACTGAACGAATACATCACACTTTTCCTCCCTAAACGAAAAATGTCCAACACTTATTGGCTTTGCTTTTATTAAAGTCCTTTACTGTAATTTAAAGTTCTTTTAACAGAAAACTGAACTAATACAACAACTTAACTACAAGTGTTGGGTGGACTACCAGCACTTGGAAAACAAGCAGAAAAGCATTTTTATTGGAGTCTTTTTATTGAGTAAATCTTTGTCCTCAATAACTGTTTCATCACATGTTTTCTCTAATTCAATTGGAGGTAATACATCTCGAATAACAGGGAACTCTTCTGTTGTCTCTTTCGGTGGAATCACACTATTTAAAAGATGTTCTATGTGCACAAATCTTATTCTTTGCCCACACTTTACCAAATATGTAAGAAGTCCTTTCTTCTTTACAATGACTCCAGGGATCCATTTCTCCGTGCTATCTCTGTGATTTCTAACAAGCACTGGTTGATTTTCTCTCAACTCGCGACTTTTAACCCCCTTTTGGTCATGATACTTTTTCTGTTGATGCTGTTTTTCTTCAACTGCACTAGCTAGGTTTGGTTTTACTAAACTTAGCCTAGTCCGCAGAATTCTCTTTATAAATAACTCTGACGGTGCTTGCTTTGTAACTGAATGTGGCGTAGAACGATAAGTCAATAGAATATTAGCTAATCTTCTTGACCATGTAACTGAAGTATCTTTTCTCTTATGATCTAGCCACATCTTGTTTAGAGCTTGCTTTACTGTCTGCACTGCTCTCTCTGCAGCACCATTACTGGCTGGATGATAAGGTGGAATGAGAGTATGCTTAATTCCATTCCTCTTCAAGAACATTTCAAAATCTTCAGAAACAAACTGAGGACCAAGTTCCTCTGGCAGTCCATAGCTTGCAAAAATGTACCTCAGCTTATCTATGGTTGCTCCACTGGTTGTACTAGACATTTCGTGCACTTCTGTCCATTTGGAATAGCTATCTATGACAATCAAAAGCATCTGTTTGTCAAACATTCCATAGTCAATATGAATTCTCTGCCAGGATCTTGCTGGAAACTTCCAGGGATGCAATGGAGCATGTGCTGGCTTATTTCTAAACATTTGACAGCTTTCACAACTCTTTAAATATTCTTCTATCTGTGAATCAAGATTTGGCCACCAGATGTAACTTCAAGCATTCTATTTCTATATTTTGATGGAATAATCACCCTTGTACCCCACAATACACACCCCTGTTCTGCAGATAACTCTAACTTGCGACTGAAATATGGCCTTAACTCCTCAGTGCCACAAGCTTCTGGCCAACCATTCAAAACAAATGAAAGAACTCTTGACAAAAGTGGATCTCTCCCTGTCTCTTGCTGTTTATCTTTAGCAGAAATTGGCAAAGAATCAGTAAACCAAACACTGAAGGCTCTTTTCCTTCCTGTGAATTTCCACTTGGTAATCTAGAAAGTGCATCAGCATTTGCATGATCACTAGATTTCCTGTACAACAATTTGTATTGATAAGCTGCAAGGATCAAAGCCCAACGTTGCAATCTAGCTGCTGCTAGTATTGGAATACCAGATTGTGCAACAAGAATAGAAAATAACGGATTATGATCTGTTACCAAAGAAAATGTGCTCCCATAGAGATACTTGTGAAATTTCTTTACCCCAAAAATCATTGCTAAGGCCTCTTTCTCTAATTGAGCATAATTTCTTTCACTTGAACTTAATGTTCTAGAAGCATATGCTATTGGTCGTTTTGAACCATCTTCCATTACATGTGATAGCACAGCTCCAACTCCATAACTGGATGCATCACAGTCCAGCTTTAAAGGCTTAGCCGTATCGTAATGGCATATGTGTCCTTAGACCAATAGCATATGTGTACTTAGATTTGAAAAAAGCCCTCGACACGGTCGCTCATTCTTTGTTGCTTTTGAAATTGACAGAATATCTGAAATGGTTTCGCTCCTATGTTAGTCAGAGATCACAGCAAACGTCGGTTGGGGACGCTCTCTCACTGAAACGAAACGTAACGATTGGAGCACCTCAAGGATCAGTTTTAGGTCCCTTACTTTTTCTTGTTTTTATCAACGACTTGCCGTTATCATTAAAATAATCGAACACAATCTTGTTTGCAGATGACTCAGTAATCTTTTACTCGGAGAAAAACTGTAATGAAATCCAAAATAAGATGAATGAGGATTTTGCTCTAGTGAAAGAATGGCTAAACGACCATCAACTGACGTTAAACAACACTAAATCAAAGTTTGCTGTGGTTGGAGGAAAACAGCAGTTAAAGCGTTTCAAAGATATGACATTGAAAATCAAAGAGGACGAACTAAGTCGAGAAACAAGTTATAAATATCTTGGTATAATAATAAATGAAAATATGACATGGGGGGATCACATTGCTTCATTGCAGCAAAAAGTAGAAAAAAATAGGTTTGTTAAAAAGAATAAGTCATCTAATCCCAAGGGCACAACGTTTAACTTTGGTAAATACTATGATAATACAATTGTTTGATTATGGAGATACTGTTTGGGGGGATAGAAATAACCAATGTTCGATGAAGACTCTGCAAGTTCTTCATAACAAATGCGCCAAACTGGTATTGAACATGAAACCAAATGATTCAAGCACGAAGGCCTTAAATTAACTTCACTGGAAATCTCTAGATATCAGACGAAAGTTCCATCGATGTGCCACCATTTACAAGTCGAAAAAAAACGATATAAGTTACACTTACAGCAATAAAACAGGACACGATTTGCATAACATCCAGACAAGGAACAAAGAGCAATACCATCTATCTAAAGTAAGGACAAATAGGGGGAAGCAAGTGTCATCCTATCTGTTTGTTGATGACTGGAATAAACTGGACACAAACATTAAGTTGGCAGGAACTTTTAATATTTTTAAACAAAGTTTTTGGACAATGTGAACTGATTTTATTCACTATGATGAACTTTTTTAATTTTGTAATGTTTTAATAAATCGATATAATTAGTTAAATAGAGGACCCTCATGAAAAGCACCCTCGAGTGACTGAGGCCATCCTCTGTAAATATTTGTCTTATTATTATTATTATTGTTATTATTATTTTTATTATTAATGCACTAGTACCTTACTGCTGCTCAACTGTGCTTTACAAGCATCAACACGAGAGTGGTCAGAAGCATGCTTTCTGACATGCTTCTGACCACTCCCATGGTACATACTTCCTTAACAGCTCATGCAAAGGGCCTAAAATGGAGGCAAGTTTTCTTTGAAACCTCCCATAATAATTTATCAATCCAAGCCAGGATCTTAACTCTGTAACATTTGTTGGAGCAGGCGCATCAATAATGGCCCTGATTTTCTCTTCAGTTGGATGCAATCCTTCTTTGTCTATCTTGTATCCAAGGTAAGTGACAGAAGAATTCTTCTGTCACAATGAAGAATTCACATTTACTGAGTTCAGCTTTAATGTTATGACTTTCAAGCCTCTGCAAAACTTCTGATAGGATCTTCTTATGGTCCTCAATAGTTCTAGTTGTGATCAGAATATCATCCAAGTAACATACAACATTCTTCACACCAGACAACACCCTATCCATGACTGACTGAAGTATGGCAGGTGCACTAGCGACACCAAAATTTTACCTTTCTATCCTGAACAGCCCCTTGTGAGTATTGATGGTTAACACATCTTTAGCATCCTCTTCAAGCTCTAACTGTTGATATGCATTGGACAAATCCAATTTGCTGAAATAAACTCCTCCTGAAAGTGTTGCAAATATATCCTCAATGTTTGGCAATGGGTATTGATCAACATCTAACACTGGATTCACTGAAACTTTATAATCCCCACAAATTCTGACTCTACCATCAATTTTTTGAACTACCACAATTGGAGAAGCCCAATCACTATGCATCACTGGTGCCATAATACCATCTTTGGTCAAACGATTAAGTTCCTTCTCCACAATTTCCTTTAACGAAAAAGGAACAGGACGGGCCTTCTTAAAAACAGGCTTAGCATCTTTCTTAAGAAGTAAGTCTGCTTTATATCCTTTTATAACACCATGCTGAGCATCAAAAACATTCTTGTACTTTTTAACCAATTCCTCACCCAAACCGTAATTTACCACAAACAGCTGATTCCAATCAAGCTTAATTTCCGTCAACCAGTTTCTTCCTAACAAAGCTGGTGTAAGAATGAGAGAATGAAGTTGCAGTAGCAGAATAAGAATGAAGTTGCTTTGTAAATGAACCCAAGGGCACATGTGGCAAATACTTCTCATAAAAACCATTTCCAACAACTAAAACTACTGCTCCAGTGTCAATTTCCAAAGTCAAAGGAAAACCATTGACAGAAACTGTTTCTTGCAAGGTAGCCCTAGAATCACCTCTACAAGTAAAGATTGTATGCAAATCTTCATCACTACTATACCCAACATTACTGGATGAAGTACCAAGAAAACTTGTTTTCACAGACGGTACAGTTTTCTTCTTTTCACTTCTACACCTCTTTGCAGAGTGACCTTGTTTGGAGCAATTAAAACATTTCAATGACTTAAATTTGCAATCATTTGCATTATGTTTATCTCCTCTACATCGCCAACACTCTGCGCTCTGCAATCACTAATGTCTTCTTTGGTTTAAAATGAGCATTTAATGTAGCTTTCAGCTCATCATACGACTTACTTGAAGGTATATTTGAGGTCATCAAATTTCTCAACACCGAATATGTTGAAGGTCCAATTCCACTCAAAAGCACAGCCCTTTTCTTGGATGCTTCAGTAATATCATTTGCGATGAAAAACTGTTCCAGCCTTTCCATATAACAAGCCCAGTCCTCCTCCCCTTCATTGTAAGGACCAACCTGTCCTAGCACCTGTGCCATGCTAATGCCACGTCAGCATTCAAGCGAACAAAATGGGCCTAAGAAGTCAGAGCTCGACTTTACCACTCAACTCGTTTAGCTGGCCTACTTGAGTTTTCCGTTTCAACAAAAAACTGGAAACGTTCACCACAGTCCCGTTTGTAAACATTAAAACATAATGGGAGGAGCCGAAACCATTTCTCGTCGCCAATTTGTAATATATCAGGCCGAGTAAACACAAGAGAACAGGCACATTCACGCAAGAATCCAACTTACTATGAATCACTATCTAAAACGAGGCTATAACAATAGGACTCAAAACTGAACGAATACATCACACTAAGGGTAAAAGTTTGTTTAACGTAAACGTGTTTTGAGTACTTCCGTCAGGATTGGTCCAACGAAACAAGCCATTTGCTGCTTAATGTTTTTTCTTTTCTTGAAGGCTCTAGCATTGCATTTTCTTTTTGAAGACATCTTATCTAAATAATATATTGAAAACTGTGGAGATTGAAACTGACGTTTCACACAATAAACTTGAATAAATAATGGCCTTAGTTAGAAGGAAACTACTGGTCTTTGCGAACTTAGTGTCTTAATGTAACATGCTACCAGAAGAATTTTTGCTTCTCAAATCACTTTTCACTTTAATAAATGTAAAAGACATTTATCGTGAAAACATTTACGCGGCCCCTCCTAGGGGACCCTTAGGAGTTGCTTGAACTCCAACCTACGTCGGTTACGTCACTGGTCAGTAGCACTTGATAGAGCAACGTTACCTGAAGAAAAATCTTCCAAATAGATTTTGCCTCTTCCACAAAATGAATGAAGAAGCTGTGTCGCAGCCAGTACCTAAATAGGAAGCCAAAGCTAGCCCATTTTTAGTGCATTTGTGTAATCGGGGAGTGGTAACCATCTTTTGTCTTCTCCTGTCCCAAACTCGAGCCAAAGCTGTGCTCAGCTAAGCTGACGAAACAATGCAATCGCTATTATGATAGTATCAGTGTCGACCGTTTTGATTGCGACTCTTCCATGTCCTGAACTGGAAACGCTCTTTACGTAGACAAAAATTCTAGTATCAGCTTTTTCGTGGTTACAAAGCTTTTGGGGGCCTTTTTGGGGGAATCTCGTCTTATTCAGCATGGCATGAATGATATAGAAAAAGACCAAGAAGGAACTGGATAAGGGTATCCCAGTCTAAAAATAGCTTTTAGGGGTGCTTTTCAAATGGGGTCTGCATTTTTTCTTATTTAGCATGTAAAATTACGCCAGAAAACCTTTTTATGGTTTATATCTTGCATAGTATGAAAGATATGGAGGAAGACCTAAAAGGGGACTGGGTGCAGGTACCTCAGTCTGAGATCTGAGAATAGCTCCAGGGGTATTTTTAAAGTGGGGTCTGTGTCTCATCTTATTCAGCATGTCAAATTGTGTATTTTACCAACTTTCATGTTTGTATCATAAGATGCGCAATTCGTCCTTTTTTGAGAAAAGCTATTGCTTTTTGAAATTAGTGTTTAATAGACTTCGAGACAGCACTAAAGCTTCAACTTTGCTCAGTTTTTCTTAGCTTAGCCAATTCAGATAGATCAGGAAGAAGCACTACCAAAAGTTAACTGCAAGTCATCCTTCTCCGCTTTTGGAAGACAACCATTGTGCACCAAAGGAGAATTCTTGTTGTTGTTACAAGTTTTATTTTTTTTAACTTTTTTCAAGGACGCCGGGGGTTAACCGCCCCTGTTGCCTGTTGATAGGAGGGCAAGAGGAGCCAAAGTGCCCTTTTCACTGAATTTCCTTGAAATCGGCCGTTTGTAATTTTTAAAATATTTATATGAAATTTTAACTGCACTGTCTTATTCGTGATGACATTTCTCAAAACCTTTGAAGAAATTTTCTATGCAAAAAGTTACCTTTAGATTCCTACGATTTTTGAAATACCTACAGAAGGTCTAAACAAAATGATAGTTGCGAAATTATTGTTGGTAGCTGGGAATTATGCCCTTTTACTGAATCCGTTCCGGCGTTCATGACATTTTTTGAGTAGTATTTGGTTGACGTTGGTTTGTTTTATGAGTGTTCGTGTTCGGTAGAACTTGGTGGCTTGATTGAGATATGTTCCACGTCGTGGATTCCCGACAATTATTCGGTTGTGGATTGAAAACAACAAAGAGGGTTTACACTTTCTTGTTGTTTCTTTATTTCTTTTTATGTGTTGTAAAAATCTATACTGCAGTGCCCTATACTCAGTGGCGAAGCTAACCAAGAACAGGTGGTCCTGCCCAAAGGGGGTCTGGGGGCAAAGCCCCCAGAAAAATCACGTGAAGCCACGCCCTAGAGACCCCCGGAAAAGAAGGAAACGCCCTTCTGGATATATTGAAATCAAGATTGCAGTGAAACATTTTTCACTGCCACATTTTGGAAAAAAGGTGAAGAAGGCTCGGATCCTTTCAAGTTCCTCCTGCCTTACTTTGAAAAGTCAAAAGAGCATCACAAAAATTCTTTCTAAAATAAGCAACATTTGAAAATGTTTTCACTGATTAACAATTTTGAAATCATTGACAATCAATAAAAAGAAATTGCTTGTACAGATAGGCATATACAGTTGTAATACATACTGGAAACATAATTGATTCAAATAATTAAAAAAAAGTAAAAATATTTTGTCACAGCATGGATATGTCTGATGCACGGTAGATAGTGTAATAGTGCTAGTTTGGATTTTGTTTGTTTTGCATCCTGTAACCTTAGTAATTTTATCACCGTTCGCACATTCGATTGTTTATAATTCCTTTTGTTTTCTAATTGCACCTTTAGATTCATTAACTATTTCTTTTGGGATTTTTAGTATCATTATTCAGTTTATGTAATTAATCTTGGGACTAATATATTTTGTATTCACTATTATTATGTAAATTTTCGTAGCTATGTAGCATTACAATAAGTTCTTGTTTAGTTATATTTTGGGCGTGTTTCATATAGAGTTAGTTTTTGAGTTGGAGTTGGAGTTGAAGTTGGAAATGGAATTCGGTTAAGAGCGATTAGGTTAAGTTTGATATTTTGTATATTTAGTTTTTTAAGAAACCCCACTTAGAATCAGATTCAAGCGTAAACATAAACATAAAGAGCGTAAACGCTGTAGGGTAAAAAGTACCACAGAGTGGTTCGCAAGAGTTAAGTTCTAGAGGACTGTATATATTCAGAATAAATGTAAGATAAATAGTTTGATAGTTTGACGAACGAGAGAAATATGGAAAGAAATCACCTGGTTGTCTTTAGAAATACCATAAAATCATCAGAGAAACAGTACAGCAAGAATGATTCGAATAAGATTTAATCTTCGTGAGAATGTCAATACAACGACGTTTCGCAAGAGTTTTTTCGAATGAATGTTTTCAATAGTGTGTAGATACGTCTGTGCGCTAGCGTTTAGATAATAATAAGTTCCAATTTGCCACACCTATCAATATCGTAGCCTCGTTTTCATGGTTCGCTCACACTCCCCCCTTGGCCAGTTAAATACTGGTCAATTAAACGTCTCTTCTCCGCACCAACAACTGCTGCTGTTCGAAGGGGTCGTGTCCTTAGAGAATTGTTCATGTCGTGACTTTGTAACGGAACTAAAGGTTCAGAGCATGTCACTTCGAGTGGAAATAATTTCTGTAACGGTCGAGCTATAACGTTTCCGTTTGACAGTTGTACATTTGCACCACGAATTTCATTGTCTCTTCCAAAAATCAACGATTTGATTCTTCCGAGATTCCAGAATAGGCGATTAGACTTATTTTCGTTGTGCACGGTGACTATATCACCTTGATGTATGGAAGATCGATGTTCATCGCGTTTGAGATTGCGATGATGCTCGCGAAGTTCTGATAAATATTCTTTCTTCCAACGTACTTTAAAGTGCTCGAGAGTTAACAAGAGATATTTTATTCTTTTAGTTAGGTTATCTTTCGTTCCCCATTCTTGTTGATCTTCAGAATCTCTCGCTACCGAATAAGGCAAGGAAATGAGACGTCTACCCATAAGTAGATGTGATGGTGTTAAAGGCTCAGAGATATCTTCAGGATACAAATGAGTCAAAGGACGCGAATTTAGGACAGCTTCTATCTCGACAAGAACAGTGTTCAAGTCATTACGATTTAACTTTGCAGATCCTACAACCTTCTTCAGACACGATTTTGTACTTTTGACCAATCTCTCAAAAAACCCACCCCACCAAGGGGCCTTGGGTAGATTATACATCCAACTGATTCTTCGTTCTGCGAAAAATTTCCTTAATTCTGGTAGTTGAAATAGTTTCACGAGCCTCTTTGATGCAGATTTAAATGTCATAGCGTTGTCTGATACGACTAGAGACGGTATGCCTCTACGTGCAGCAAATCGACGAAAACACATTAGAAACGCATCAGCTGATAATTCGTCGACTAGTTCAAGGTGTACAGCGCGAGAAGTAGCACATGTGAAGAGCGTGATGTATACCTTCTTCATCTGCTTCTGATCACTCTTAACATACAACGGGCCGGCAAAATCAACTCCGACTGAAGTAAATGGGAAAGAATCTTCCACTCTGAAGCTCGGTAAGTTCGCGGTTTTAGGATTTCCATAGGACATTCCTTGTAACCTTTTACAGAGAGTACACTTGCCGATAACTTTCTTGACAATTTGACGTCCCTTTACTATCCAGAAGTGACTACGTAATTCTAAAAGAGTTTCCTTCACGCCACCGTGAAAGACATGCTTGTGACAATCCTGTATCACTAACTTTGTAAGATGATTTTCTCTGGGAAGTAGTGCTGGGAATTTGCTTTCAAAAGGAATGTCTGCATTACTAAGACGACCTCCGCAACGAATAATTCCGACTTCGTCCTTGAAAATACCTAGTTGCCGCTCAAACTGCTTGTTCTCGTGTTTAGAAATATCATTTTGAACTTCTTTGATCCAAAACAATTCTGCCTTCGCCATCTCTTCAGCTGAAAGCTCTCCATCGAATTTTTGACTTTTCTTTCTGCAGTTATGAAGGAAACGCAGTACGTATGAAGTAACGCGATAGAGGCGTGAAATGCTGCTGAAATTCTCTAACTTGATTACATTTCTCAACGAATTTTTCTGCACAGCATCAGCTAGCAAAACCGTGCTGGACTTCTCCTGTGAGACATTATTTTTACGGATTTCCTCTTGACATTCCTGCGGCATTTCATCTTGACGATCAACGATAGGCCAATTTCCAGGATCTTCTTTTAACCATTCTGGACCTGACCACCAAAGATCATTCATTTGCAGTTTCGTGACGTCATAATTGCGAGTAGGAACATCTGCAGGATTTTCCTTTCCTGGGCAGTGTGACCAGAGGTTAGGATTGACCAATTTTCTGATTTCTTGGACACGGTTTTCAACAAATATCTTCCATTCCTTTCCTTCTCCCAATATCCAATAGAGTGCTGAAATCGAATCTGTCCAACATTTGACCACTTTAGTTTTAACAACAGGACTTAGTGAATTTTCCACAGAATCGATTAATCGTGCAAGAGTTAGACAAGCTAGCAGCTCTAGTCTTGGAATGGATGTTTTAGATAAAGGTGCTACCCTTGATTTAGACATAACCAAGCTCACGTGACTTTTTCCGTTGACAGTTATCTTAGCATATACCGACGCTACATAAGCACTTTCAGAACTATCGCAAAAGCCGAAAAGTTCGACGAGGTCAGGTTTCCCATCGATGGAACCAAAATAGTACCTTGGTACAAAAATAGATTCTACTTTATCTAATTTGGAGATGAGAAATTTCCATTCTTTGTCAAGTGCTTCAGGTAATGTTTCATCCCAAGACAATTTTGCCTTAAAGAGTTTCTGTAAAAACACCTTCAGAGGAGTAGTCACAGGTGAAATGAAACCTTGAGGATCGAATACCTTTGCAACTAGCCTCAATACATTGCGCTTGGTAGGAATCAATTCGGCAGCGAACTTTGCAAGTTCTGACAGCTTGAACTCAAAGACATCCTCTTCGAGATCCCAGTTTAGCCCTAAGACCTTTACACATTTTGATTTGTTATCAATTTCTTCCATAAATAAACTTGACTTCGCAAAAGATTGGTTTTCTTCTGTTGTAGGTAAAATGTTTTCTATGCATTCGCTAGAATTGGATTCAAAATCTTCGATTTTGTCCCTAACTTCTTTAGAGTTTGACTGCCATTTTCGGAGTCGAAAACCTCCTTCAAGCATGAGGTTTTTAGATATTTCATAAAGATTTAAAACTTCTTCGATAGAATGTCCTCCGGAGTTTACGTCATCAGCATAAAGCGAATTAAGAAGTTTATTACACACCTCAGGGTAATCTGTAGAATAGCTTTCAATGTGCTTTTTCAAGGTTGCATTTAGCAGAAACGGTGAGCATGTAATCCCAAAAACAACACGAGAAAATCTGTAAGTAATAATTTTTGGCTGCTCGTCATCTAAACTGTCTACCCAGAGAAAACGAAGAACGTCCCTATCAGATGGGTGAACTGACACCATATGGAACGCTTTTTCAATATCTGACGTTAAAGCGATTGGGTTTAGACAAAACCTTGCAATAATTTCAGCGACAGTTTTAAGCAAACACGGTCCAGGGTAAAGACATTGATTTAACGAAACACCAGTTTTATCCTTCGCAGAGGCATCATAAACCAAACGCACTTTGGTGGTTTCTTTATCCTCCCTAATAACTGGGTGATGAGGGATATAGTGCGTTTTTCCAACTCCACCAACAAAATGAGAATCAACTCTTTCAATAATACCCCTCTTTTCTTGATCATTTATAATGGAATCATAATCGTTCAAGAGTTTTCTATTCTTTTTCAGTTTAGAATAAAGCCCAATGAGACGTTTTTGGCAAAGCTCGAAATTGTCGGGAAGAGTTGGGTGGTCTTTTTTCCAAGGAAGTTTAACCTGATATCGGCCTTCTGAAAATTCAATTTCGTCTTCGAAATCTTCGTAAACAGACAATTCGTTTT